AGTGGAGAAGGCGGCCTCTAACGGGCAAGGCGGGGAGGAGGCTCAGTTTTGCTATGGGAGTGAGTGCTATGCGTCCTCGTTTTGGGCGATGGCCGCAAGTGTTTGGGTTGCGTGTGGGTTGGTGTTGTGGGCTTGGAAGGGAAAGAATGGATGGGCGCAGAGAGGTATTGTGGTTTAAGCGGGCGGGATGTCGAGGGTATTTAGCAAATTGGGAATCAGGGAACATATATGGGCATCGTCTGATGATTAAGGGCTTTCTGGAGTTTTGGCATGGTGCATTTGGGATCTTGGGTATTCGGGTTTCACTACATACGGGGACGTGACGTCCAGCGGCTAGCTTTTTTTTTTTTTTTTTTTTTTTTTTCCCAATTTGTGTATCTCAGTGTGTGACATACCGCGCCCAAGTTGTGCATAGACAGACTGCAACTATCAATGTTGATACAACCGTCAACCTCCCGACGTGCTACCTCTCCACTCGTACCTGCATTGATGACCTCCCGTCAAAGCCTTGACATCAAAAAGGGGCTAGCCAACTTGGTCCCACAGTGTATCCCCAGCCGCGCTAACACTGTCCCTCAATCCAGAAACTTGCAACGAACTGTGCGTTGCATCAAGCGCGGCAATTGACCAATTGGGCATCGACCTTTTCATTTTCTTTTGCCATTCTCACTCACCATCTCTCATCTCATGTGAGTCTTGTTTCTTTACTCTCACAACAACTCACAAGAACTCCACGAGATGGAGACCACAGAGGAGGTAGTAGCTCCAGCTACGGCTCAGCAACCGGTTACCGAAGTCGGCTCAGCCAAGCCTACCTCAACATACAGCAAAAAGCAAAAGAAGCCAAAGACGACAACGACGACGACGACAGACGGGACCACACCAACTCACAATGAACACGCCAACGCCAAAGACCCGAGAAAAGCTCAGGATGATCAGGTTATGGGAGTACGTCCTTTTCCCTCTATCCGCTTTACTCTCCCAAACCAACCACCTACAATCCCACACTCCCACAGTACTGACACCCCCAAACAGACAAACAACTCGTCCATAGTCTCCAAACGCTCCGTCGAAAAACTCTACTACCCCAACGAGCCTCATTTCTTCCGCTTCTTCGTCAAGAAATTCCAGCGACGAGCGCCGCTGATCAATCGCGGTTATCACTTTCGTTTGCACGTCATTGATGTGCTTGTTCGCAACTTCTTGCAAGAGCAAAGAACTGGGGAAGCCAAAGGAAAGAGAAAAGTGGTGGTTAATTTGGGCTGTGGAAGCGATGTGTTGCCTTGGCAGTGTTTGACTAGGTATCCGGATGCTTGTCGCTCTGGTGAGAAGGACGGGGCGAAGTTTGTGGATGTCGATTTCCCGGATCTAATTGAGCGGAAGAAGCGGACGGTTTTGGAGACGCCGGAACTTTTGGGGCCGTTGACGAACGTGGTGATACCAGAGTTTGCTCCTGTGCTTAGTACTCCTGCGGCCACTGCTGCGGCTGCGGCTACAACTACCACAACGACGGAACCTAAGACCACGGCAGCAACCGCTTCAAGCACCTCGACAGAAGCCCCTCAAAAGCCCAAGAAATCCCCTAAACCAAAGGACAAATCCAAAGCCGCCCGCGCACCGGCCCCCACCACCGCACCTACCGGTATCGTCCTCGCCAGCGACCAATACGTCCAAATAGGCTGCGACCTGCGCGACCTCGCCACCCTCCAAGACTCCCTCACCAGAGCCGTCGGCGGCGATCTCTCCTCTTGCACCTTCCTCTTCGTTGCCGAGGTCTCCATCACCTACATGGAGACACCGGGAGCCGACGCCGTCATAGAATGGGCTTCCTCGCTAGGCGACTCCGAGTTTGTCCTTCTCGAGCAACTGCTACCTTCGGGGCCGACCCACCCGTTTGCTTCCACAATGCTATCGCATTTTCATAAACTCAACACCCCAATCAAGAGCGTGGACGTGTACCCTACGGTGGCCTCGCAGGTGGAGCGTTTTCGCTCTCGGGGCTGGGGCAGCGGTGATGTGCGCGTCTGGACGCTGTGGGAGGCGTGGGCAGATGCCGAGGATACTTTCGTCAATGCGGCGGAGAGACGCAGGCTGGACGAGGTGGAGCCGTTCGATGAGTGGGAGGAGTTTGCGCTTTTTGCGAGCCATTATTGTGTGGTGAGGGCCAGGACGGTGGCTAGGGACGGACAGAGTAAGAAGAAAGAGAGGGGGATCCCGAACGGAAGGGAGTTGGGGGTGTCGGTTGAGAAGGTCAAGGTGAGGTGGGATGATGTCCCGGGGCAGAGGGGTCAGAGGAGGTTTGCGGCTGGGGCGGTGTTGACTTCTTCTTCTTCGAGTTTGGGAAAGAAAGAGGAGGTAAAACTGCTGAACGTTATGGGGCTGGGGACGAAGAGCCGGTTGCAGAACTGCGATGTTTACGGACGGAAGAAAGTGGGAGATGCCGACGAGGCTGACGGTACTGACGAAGAAAAGACGGCGGTGCCGTTCACTTTCCGTGAAGGCGGCCCTTCAACAAGGATGTGTCACTCGCTGACGGATCTCGGCACTGCCCAACTCCTGGTGGGAGGACGGGCATCACCGTCCACGCCCCTCAAAGACTGCTGGCTCTTGGAGAAGACTAACGACAGCGAGTGTGAATGGGCATGGAAACGCACCAGTGATCTCCCGATTCCGCTCTACAGGCATTCTGTCACGAGATTGGGGAAGACAGACATGGCACTGCTTGCCGGTGGAAGGGGAGTTGCCGATATCTTCCCTGACTGGCTTCTCTACGAGCCCAAGCTTGGATGGATCAGATGCGAGATTGCCGGTGACGTCAAGCCGACTTCGGTGTATGGCGCTACGCTTGCTTGCCTCCGTCAAGAGAGTGACACGTTCTCTGGTGTGTTTGCTGGCGGCTTGAGTGATGATGGCCTCATTGCTGATCAGCTTCTGGCATGGAACCTGGACGTATCCGACAGCAGCAAGCCGGTCGTCACTTTCGTTCCGCTACAGGTAAAATCTGGTGATGATGGCCGCGAAGAGGCTCTCTCACGTCTACTTCTCACGAGGTTTGGCGCTTCTTGCCTGCCCCAAAGTCGGACCGACTTCTTGATCTTTGGTGGTGTTATCAAGGACCACCTTTTGGATATGGAAGACGAGATCCTGCTATGCTCACTCAAGGGCGACGGAGAACTCATAATCACGCGGCGACTCGTTCCCGAGGCCGCTAATGCTGTATCACCATCCCACCCAGGCCCTTTGTTATTGGTGGGAACTTCTCCAGTTGTCACGCCGGACGATGGCAGCTTGATGATCATGGGCGGCGGAGCAACATGCTTCTCCATGGGAACCTTCTGGAACAAGGGTATTTCGACTCTAGAACTGGCACTGCCGGCTGCGGTGGAGAATGGAGCTTTGCCCATCCCCGCACATGGATGGGCGCACGAGAAAACAGTCGACATTATCCCCGGTGAGCCAAGGAGTCTTCCTCTCCGTAATCAGGCACCCAACGGCGCTGAGGGGAACGTCAATGGCAGCGTAAGCGTCCGCATTCAACCCATACCCCGGGTCAGGTTGGAAAATGCTGAAGACTTCGCCAGGATCGTACGTGAGGGTCGTCCGGTGGTTCTGGAGGGCCTAAATCTGGGTGATTGTGTGTCGCAATGGGGAAACGGTGACTACGTTGCGAAGAAGGTTGGGACAGACCACAAGGTGAGTTGAGCAAGGGGAAGCAAATGATGACCGAAACTGTCTCGAGTATGTGCCTTGACTGACGGGCAGCCCTTACCTAGGTCGTGATCCACGAGTCCACGACACCTGCAATGGATTTCACCACCAAGAACTTCCGCTACGTGACGACCGAGTTTGGCGACTTCATGAGGCGCATTGAGAAAGGTGACCGGCTGTACCTGAGGGCGCTATCGACCGACAAACCGACGGAAAAGCCAGCCGTTCTAAGTGACGACTTTCCCTCGTTGGCTACTGATTTTGTGTTGCCGCCTGAGCTGGCCTTGGTAGGCGAGAGACTGTTCAGCTCGGTCCTACGAGTATCTGGGCCGGTCAACATGTGGTTGCATTACGATGTAAGTCCTCTCGCCTGTTTGCGGGATATCCGTATGCATTCTGACACGACTAGGTCATGGCCAATGTGTACTGCCAAATCGGCGGTTCGAAGCGCATGATTCTTTTCCCGCCGTCCGATGTTGAGCATCTTGGCTTTGCTCCCGGGGCATCGAGTTCCAGTATCGATGTCTTTTCTACTCTTTTTGGGGAGTCGAGTGGCTCGAGATACTTGGCTCAAGTGACGCATCCTCACGAAGCTGTCATGACTCCAGGAGACGTCCTCTTCTTGCCCCCACTTTGGCTGCACACGGCAACTCCTACTTCGGATAGCAGCATTGCGGTAAACGTCTTCTTCCGCGATCTCGAAGGCGGTTGCTATGCAGCTGGGAAAGATGTGTATGGGAACAGAGATCTGGCGGCCTATGAAAAGGGCCGAATGGACTTGACTCGTATTGCAAACAGCTTCCAAAAGCTGCCGGCTGAGGCGAGGGAGTTTTATCTGTTGAGACTTGCAGACGAGCTTCGAAGGAAAGCCAAGGGAGCCCAGTAGCGGAGAGTCGTCAGTCCATTTTGCCAATGTAAGCCCTCGGATGCCCGGATTGTCGTTTTGGCCTGTTGGCCCAATACGTTGGTGGTACAATACCGTATATACGTTTGTGTTACCGGCTACAGCGTGGGTGTGATACAAGATGGCACACCAGTCCATGTGCCTGTCGTCCGTAGGTACCCGGGTGGCCATGGCCTGCATATCAGGAAGAGAGTTATTACCTAGCGAAGATTACCAGCACTCGTGTATACTATTGTCCGACTCTATGTTTGTATGGTGCTGTTCGTTACTGATGCTGTCGAGATGGGTTAGGGTGGTAAAAGGGCCCGAGAGGACAAAAGCGATGCTCGGATTCTCAAACCGAGTTCAGCGAGTGGTAGGGTCGGTATATGTTTGCCTTGGAAAAAGGCTAGGTCTTGGAGAGCATGGTATCGGCGGGCTGGGAGACGATGGCAGCGGCGAAACCGGCAATGAGACCGGAGCCAAGGTTGACGGCGGTCTGGGCAGAGTCGGACATGTCCTTCTTGGGGTAGACGCTGTAGACGGCCTCGGCGACCTTCTCGTAGCCTGATGGAAGGGTGTGTGGTTCTTTCCGAGTGTGCCAGCCTTGTTCAACGTTCCAACAGCCTTTGTACTCCAGGCTGCCCTGACATTGATGGATGGTGGTTCGGTTCGTAGATCCGTGTTCCCTGCAGCCAATCCTACGACGGCAAATCAGCAAGACAAGCAAGGCACATGCAGAAGGGGACAACGCTGACAGGCTGACCCCTTCGGCAGTGCAGCAGCGGGAGGAGGGTCATCGTTGGCGCCAGGCAGGGGATGGATGTGTTGTGTGGTGTCCGGGTCAAGATGCGACGTGGTGTTCACTTGGGGACATGTAACGGTGTCAAAATGTCACGGCAGACATTGCGGTGGATAAGAGCAATCTGCAGTGTGCCAGGTCTAATCTCAAAATCTTATTCTAGCTGGAGGTTGTGATTGCCATTTCTAGTGTATAGTTGGTGGAGTGCGGTCTTGCTCTTTCCTCGGTTTCTTCTTTTTTCGCCATTCTATATTGCGCTTGGCTGAGCGTAGACAACCTGCTGAAGGTTCCCTGCATTACTAGGTTGGCTGCATGAATTGGGGGATTCTGCCATGTCACAAACACTTTCCGACAAGTAACAATCAGCGTAAAATTACATGCGGTAAGATGTACACTCGAGGTTCTCTCTGTTGTCATCCTTTACAATATGCACACCTCTTCTCGCGTACCCTACTGTATGTTACCTCTACCTTATAAAATTGTCTTTTACACCACTCGCAGCAGTGGACAGGTTCACCGCACCTGGACGACGTATGTACCCGGTCCTGGACTGGATCCAATGTCATGGGATTGTGCCTTTTGTCGTTAACTCCGAAGTCGCCCTAGTGTAAAATCGTGTGCGCTGTGACGTCTCGTGGGTCTCTCTCAAACACTTTCGGCCCTGTTGCCCTGGCTGGTGGACGCTATGGAGCACCAGATCGGCCGGGGCATGGAATAGATTATAGAAGGGTACAAAGGCCGCTGCGGGCCGGTACTTGGCCAATACCTGTCCCGGGAATTACCGGACCAATTTTTTTCGGCTGGCGTCTCTGATTGTTTTTCCGCAGCGCCGGCCTTTCCACCCTCCCGTGCCTCCGTGTCCACCTCCACTCTCCAAAAAGGCTCAATCGCCAACCTCCGTCGCGAACGACTTTCCCGCCCGATTGCTCTTTTTGCCCTCTTTCCTCCCCGTCAACCCATCTCCACTCAGTCTTTGTTTGTCGTCCAAACCCAGATATCCAAAATGGCCCCCTCTACCCCCAAGGTCGACGCCGTCGTCGAGAAGGCCAAGGCCGCTGCTGCTCCCGAGATGAGCGCTGCCAGCCTCTACGGCAGATTCGCTCTTGCTGGTGCCATCTGCTGCTCCGTCACCCACGGTGCCCTCACCCCTGTCGATGTGTATGTTGTCCCGCCTTCAGCCTATGTATACACCGTCATGGCATTGGGCGCATTGAATTCGCAGCCCAACGCCTCTGTCTCGTAGATATCACGAATCGCGCTGCTGACACGTCTGCACAACAACAGCGTCAAGACTCGCATTCAGCTCGACCCCGTCACCTACAACAATGGCATGATCGGTGGCTTCAAGAAGGTCGTCCAGAACGAGGGTGCCGGTGCCCTCCTGACCGGTGTCGGCCCTACCTTTGCTGGTTACTTCCTCCAGGGTGCCTTCAAGTTCGGTGGTTACGAGTTCTTCAAGCAGCAGAGCATCAACTTGCTCGGCCTTGAGACCGCCACCAACAACCGCACTGCCGTCTACCTCGCTTCCTCCGCCGCTGCCGAGTTCTTTGCCGACATTGCCCTCTGCCCCCTCGAGGCTACCCGTATCCGTCTCGTCTCCCAGCCCACCTATGCCAGCGGCCTCATCAGCGGCTTCGGCAAGATGCTGAAGAACGAGGGTATCGGCGCTTTCTACGCCGGCTTCGGACCCATTCTCTTCAAGCAGTAAGTCGCCATGTTGCCCATGTTCCGGTCATCATGACATGCCCCTAACCGTGCTTCTTTCTTCCAGGATCCCCTACACCATGTCCAAGTTCGTCGTCTACGAGAAGGTCGCCGAGGCCGTCTACAGCGTCTACCCCAAGAAGGACATGTCCGACTCTGCCCAGACCGCCGTCAACCTTGGCTCCGGTCTCATTGCCGGTTTCGCCGCTGCCATCGTCTCCCAGCCCGCCGATACCATGCTCTCCAAGATCAACAAGGTAACTATGCCAGACAATCCAATACCCAGCCGGACTATGCTAACGTGCTTCACTCTCAGACCCCCGGTGCTCCCGGCGAGTCCACCACCTCTCGTCTCGTCAAGATCGCCAAGGAGCTCGGCCTCAAGGGCTCTTACACCGGTATCGGTGCCCGTCTCTTCATGGTCGGCACCCTTACTGCCTTCCAGTTCGCCATCTATGGTAAGTTTCTCCTTATTCGCGCCAGCGAGATGGGCTTGTGGTGGTATTGGGAATCCTGGAGGGTGTCGGGTTGTCGCGCGGGGCCCGAAGCATCACCCCCAACCCGGATTCCTCTAGCACCTATTTCCATCTCAACACCAGCAGTAGCACCTAATCTAACGCATAAAACACGCAGGCGATGTCAAAAAGGCCCTCGGGGCAACCTCGGGTGTAGAGCTCGCCAAGTAAACGCGATTTTGAAGCGTTTGGAGACGTATAATGATGGGGGATGAGCTTGGGGATAATGGGTGGGAGGTCGGCAACACAGGGACCACCTTGTGGGTTGACTGGGTTGCCCGACCAACTCGCCAATGAACAAAACAAGCGAGGGATGTGTTTGGCATTGCAAGCATCTCCTTGCAGAAAGATTTCCGGTCCTTTGTTGAGCATTTAGACGTTTGGCCGCTGGGTTTGGATGTGGCTACCGGAAAAGTTTGCAATGTCACTTGGGTCGTTTTGCAGCCTTCTCAATATTCTTTAGGCAGGATCTACGTTGCACGGGTTCTTTCATTTGTCGTTGGCGGACTGCTTGACATTATAGAGGAACATTAGAAAGAGGATTGAAGGTTCAAGACACGTGCTTCCTAGTAGATTGCTCGCTGTGTGTAGTGTACGAAGACGAATCAAAGTTGATGCAACAGTACATTGTGGCCGTTTGCGAAGTCTGATGTTTGGTCGATTATCAAGCGACCACGTCCACTTTATATAGCTACAGTATCTATCACCGACTATGTATACGAACAAATGTTGTCAAGCTTCGAGAGCTGGTTTCGGGATTGATATGGCCCGTGCACCGGTCATCGCGAGTTATGAAATGGACCAATTGCATGGGCGCGATGACGGAAGAGAGGATGCCAGCACATGGGTGGTGAGGGATAGCGCTAAGCCCCAACTGGCGGGAGCACGGGGAGTGTGGGTTGCAGCAGGGGCATGTTGAGGCTTGAAGAACCAATCGTAGTGCGAGCCGACCACCAATCAACAGCCGCGCCTCTTGCAGCGTTGCGGCGGGAATGGAGTATGACCGGGAATGTCTTGTTCCACTCGCACAGCAAGCCTCAACACCAAAGCATCTCTTTTCCTGCTGCATCGCACATTTGGCGATATCATCACATTTGTTCGTTTTTCCGTGTCCATGCGCCGTCGCGACTGGCATCCCCCATAGCGGCACTGTTTTGCTGGTATTACAGCGCTGCAATAGGGAAGGAACAGTGGACCCACACCGGGCCACCGCGCCTTCCTTCAGTGACGATATAGGTGCTACTGCCCCACTCTAGAGCTGGTCGCTCCTTCCTTTACAGCAGCCAGACGCGCCCATAGGACTGGACACGCGCGCGCTGCCTCAGGTCGCGAATCTGGTTGATTAGGGGTTCGGGCAACAGGAGTAGGTTCGGTCCCGGACTGGAACCTGGGCTGATAGGTAATCCCACGCTTCTCCAGTTCCCTCTCTCCTCTTTCCCCCAAACAACACAAACCAACAAGTCAGAACATCACTGCTCACAACTTGCAAAATGGTCAGAATTCGCTTTTCGCGCCGCTCTCGCGGTTGCACCTCCTTCAATACCTTCCACAACATCGCCACTCCTGTCTCTTCTCCATTACCGGTTGAGACCCCCCTCTTCGACGCACGACGGGAACAAGAAGGCGTCCGGTTCGCCCACGAACTGTACATTGCGATCCGAAACCAGCACTTCATGCGCGATTGCCACTGCCCTGTGCCGACCATCTACACATCTAAAGAGGCCGCACTTGCTGCTACCGGTCATATCCGATTCTACATTGCGGACGAGAACCCATCCAAGCTGTCTGTTCTTCAACAACCCGCTGATCCTCACTGGCATTGCGAGTGCCGCGACGCGCACAACTACTGGCCAGTCTACCAAGAGCTACTCAGCCGGCACCACGAGCCCCGTCTTAACGACAACGGAAAGCGCGTTGCGGAGGCTGGCGAGCTTGAGCTCATCTCTGAGAACGTTGAGCACAAGGCGGTGGAACGGGTCCTGCCTGCAGCAGTTGACGATAGTGTAAGTTCTTCCCCTGTTTTGATCAAGGACAGGCGAGAGAAGATGAGCAGAGACGCTGACCAAGTTGCCCATCCACAGACGCCAGAGCAAGAGCCAGCGCCATCGTCCGAAACACCCATGGAAAGCTCCTGGATGAACCCTTTCGCCCTCGCTACTCGGGCCCTGATCACGATGGCCACCCCATTCACTGCTGTCCGGAATTTCATCTCTGGATTTTTCCCGGGTGAAACCCGTTACGACATCGTTGACACACGAAAAGTTGACGATACCAACGGCACCGTGTCAGTCAAGAGATTGAAACGACACTGTACGCCTTCAACCGATGCATACTCTAACGAGCTCCCGGGTTTTTCCTGGGCCGACGACGCAATCTCGTATGTCGGACGAGATGCGCTCGAGCACATCGCCGAGGTTTTCCACCATCGCATCGATTTGATTAGTCGCTCCCTGGTCACATGCAGCCACTCACTCGAAGACCTCAGGAGGAGTTTCGACCCCAACCAAGGAGAAGACCTCCAACTCAACATCGCAATTCACAAACTAATGACCGACACTCCAAAAATTGGGCCTGTGCTTCCTACCGACAGCACAAAGAAACGGGAATGGAGATACAAGGAGGCACGAAAGTTGTACCTCGATGGCGCCTGCACAGCCTACGAGCTGATGCAGGACATTTACATTCAGCATAACCTTGATGCGTACAGAGTGTTGTTTCCCAAACCACCGCGAACAATCGCTTATGGAGAAGACACCAAGCCGGAGAAGAACACCAGGTCATTGCACGAGAAGGCCAGAGTGGCCGCCGAGTTTATCTCATGGGTGCTGCGAAACCACATGGACGGGATGGAAGGCTTCGAAGAAGCTTTATCAAAGGTCTTCGTGGATGCCAATGCCATCCACAAGCGCGAAATCATACCCAGCTATGTCAAGCCCACGGCAAACGAATCATCCTCAATTCCCGGAACCTTCCCTACCGGCCCGGACGCCGCTTTCGAAGATGTTCCTATCGACGATCTCAGTTTTGCGTATAGGTGGGAATTCAAATATCCCTCAACTGATCAGGAGGAGACGGAACCTGCATCAATCAATGTCAAGGAGTTCCGCCCTGTACTGGAACCCAAAAGCATCCTCAAAAAGCCCAAAAAATGGCCGACTCCTGAATCGCCAACAGCGTATGTCGCCACCCCAGATAGAAACAAAAGACTCGACTTTGTTGCGCCTGTGGCGAGCTACGCGCCGCCTAAAGAAGTACCTGTGCAAGTGATGAGCCTTAAAGATGCCATCAATGTGCAGTGGCACCATCCTACCGAAAGTTACGTCCATGACCGCGAAAACAATGCGAACCGGAACGCAGAACCAACCACCAGAGACCTTCATCGTTTCGCAAAGGTTGACAAAAGCAGAAGCTTTACCGTCTCGGATATAACCAGATGGACAGAAAAGGAGGTCGAAAGAGATGACGCGGAGATGGGACTCCGGGTTCACGAGGCCAAATATGGTCCTTTCCTCAGTGAAATCCGGCAAGAAATGTTGGAAAATTTTCAGGCCAGCGGTGCTCAGGAACACCCAAAGCCAGAGCTTGACCTCAAGGCCCGCAGACAAATTCTGCAAAAAATTCGACAGGAAAGGAACGAAAAGACGACTCAAGGGGCACGTGGGGAGAAGAAATCAATGCTCGATCGGCTCTTCCGAAAGGCCGAGCAAGAAGATATCCCGGCTACAGAGGGAGCTGTCTCTGGACCATCTCGACGCGGATCCAACCCTTCGGTGGAGCAGGCCTCAGCAACCAGTCAGGTTCAGCAGTCAGCGGCTGACGATGACCTCGCAATTGCCACCAAAAAGCTCGAGGATTTGGAGGTCAGTCGTCAACTGGCCCGCGAGTGGGAGAATGGAATTCGCCGCGACATCGAGGAGCGGCACAGGGAAGCCGAAAGACTGCACAAGGAAGCAGAGCGAAAACGGCGGGAGGAGAAGCGGCGACAAGAACAGGAAAGCAGGAGGCGCCGCGAAGAGGAAGACCAAGCCTCGCGGACCGGTCTGCGCGTACCCAAACGCCCCCTGATCGGAAGCTTGAGCAACGATTGGGAGAAGAAAGTCTCCAATGTCCTCTATGCCAACTCTTCCGCGGAACTCGCAAAGATGCTGGACGGGCAGCCTCTCACGAAGCGAGACTTTGTTGAGAAGCTGCTGGAGCCTCAAGCCTGGCTCAACGACAACGTCATCATTGGCAGTATTTCCCATATTGCTAATGCCGTCAATAAATCGGCAGGGGCCAAAGACTCCGACCCCAAATGTGCAGCTTTCACGTCGTACTTTTGGCCACGGCTTGTTGATGCTGGGCCGAGCCAGTGCGGGCGCCTGATGCGCCGTGCAGGTGTCAGGAAGAACAACTTTTTTGACATTGACACAATACTCATTCCCATTTGCGACGGCGCACATTGGACGTTGGCGGTTGTACGGCCGGGGAAGCGGACCGTGGCGCACCTGGACTCGATGCGAGCGGGCGCCGGTGACAAAGAAATCAAAGAAAAACTGCTTGAATGGGTCAGGGTCACACTTGAGGACAAATGGGTCGCGTCAGAATGGTCGGCCATTGACTACGAAGCTCCACGTCAAACCAACGGGTACGACTGTGGCGTCTTCACCATCACGAATGCTCTTTGCATTGCGCTTGGGCTTAATCCCAAGAAGTCATATACTGCAGGGCAGCTCACGCTGCAGAGACGGAGGTTGGCTGCGGTTCTACTCAATGGAGGTTTTACGGATGATTTTGCGTTGGATGGATTTTGATTTGATTCGGGGCACTTTGTTTTGGACACGGCTAGATAGAGAAAAGGGAGGCGTTATCAGAGCATACTTATGGCGTTTATATGTTGCCGAGGTTGGTTGTTTGTGTTCGTTTGATCGTCAGGCTTGGGAGTGCAGCATTTGTATACATTGAGGAATGAGCCGGGAGTCGGACGGTTGCCTTCAGCATAGTTATGTGGCGTTTTCGCTTGCACGTTGGTTCTTTCTACTTCTCGATTCTGGAATACAGCATTGTTAGCTTAGAGATCAAGTAGAGATTATTCTGTCGGTTCAAGGGTATACCAATAACATTACCATGGATAACACTTTCGCTGCGAACTTGCATTGACGTAGTCCCTGAGGTTGAAATGTGTACTTGTCATGATTGGAACAGCACCTCTAGACTGTCTAGCGGACCTTAGTAACAAAGCTGACAAGAGCCTCTGTATCTACAGGCAGTTTACGATAGTAAGTCCTTCCATTCACAGCACTGATGCAAACGACGCTTATTTGCTGACTAGCTGGGAAGAGAAAGCAACAGCAAACGAGAGGGTAAGGAAAGCATTAACTTGAAGTTCTGTCAACATTCCATTCTCTGGCCACTACCTCTAGACTAATGCCTCCTTTGGTTGATACCAGGGAAAAGACCGTCAAGTGCGGACATAGCAACCTCCCTTCTAACCTTTAACGATCACCGTTCTGTTCCTGTCAGCAAAACACCATCATGATCACCTCTCGGACACTCTCTTCACCATCATTCATCTACCAGATCCGTCCCACGTTAAGGCCCCGAGTGCAAATCGTCGACACCGGCGCCGCGCCGTTTTACCTTTCAAAGGCTGATATCACGCGGCAGAGAAGAGATTAGCAGGACATCTGACAGTCTAGGTCGAATTTACTCAAGTTCGACGTCTGATGTGTTCGGGCGGTCGACCGTCACGCTACTTCTATTCAACCAAGCGGTCGTTTCATTTCATTTCATTTTTTTTTTTTTTTTTTTTTTTTTTTTTTTTTTTCGGTTACAAATATGAGACAGTACACTCATATTGTCATTTGGAGTAGATTAGGTTGAGATTGACTGCAAAGTGTAATAAGGTAAGTATCACTCTCCCTCTTCCTCTTTCATCTCAACCATCATGACTACGGTCTTCGTCATTCACAAAACTCTCGAGCGCAATCCATTCACACCCACAATGTCCGAACATCAAGACAAGAGCGTCCAATATACCGTATAAACTTGGGGGAAGGGTTGATTTTTCCAGCTTTCAGGGAAATCAGGCATATTTTGTAAGCATACTGCGACATTCATGCCCACCAGCAACTGTATGCAAAACGGTGTCGAATGTATCCGGACACCCTCTATGGTAGCGCTCTCAAAAAGACAGGCTGGAAAAGGCAAGGCATCAGAGAAATGGAATTTACAGTACTTCGGGGTAGCAATACATCTATCTCCCTCCACATATTTTGGGCGGGCATTGCCTGATCTCCCTGAAAGTTGATATTCAACCCCCCGAGTTTATACGGTACATGGATAAAGACGGGCAGCGGACATGTGGATGATTAAATTAAATATTGCATATTGACATGTAATGTATCCCTTATGGTAGGTCGCAGACGGAATTGGAAGCTACGACTGCGGTGCACCGGGTGGATGAAAGTACTTCTTCTTACAACCACCAGAACCACACGTTGGAAGGTGCATTGGTGGGCTGGGTTTTGCTTATGTGTTTTAAGGTGGCTTCTTGGATCTTTTTTTTTTTTTTTTCAGTTGGACTTCTACTTCTTCTGATCAACCAACACCTCGCTCTTTAACCTCCACCTGAAAGCAACAACACAGTTTGGCTGCAACATCTCTTACATATATCACTTTCTTTTTGGCGGAATGGCTTGGAAGATGCTTGCCACCATGCCCTTCAACGCCGAAGAAGATGCAACGGAGGCCCGAAGGCTGATAAGTTATATGCATGCAGATGACATTCCTCTATGATGATGCCCGATCAGCAATTCGTTCTTGCCAACTGGGTGTTCTTGCACACTTTTTCCTTCCATAAAGTAGGACACGTCTCTGGTCTCGGGAATTGTTTTTCTTTCTCCTTCTTTGATTGTACAAAACAGCTACAAGCACCAAGCCTCGAAAGATACCCAACATAAACAACACTCGACCCCTGTTATCGCTTCCCAAAATGGTTTCCCTGAAGTTTTTCGTTACGGTCGCGGCCCTTATTGTCTCGTTCGTCTTCGGTTTCGTCATTCACGAGGAGGATGACCCCGACCTGATCCTCGCCGGCCAAATCGGGACCCAGTTTGGTCTGGTGACCTGGTACGTCGTCTAGAAATCACCCCTTTCACAATACCCCCATACATCTATAAACCTCTCTCTCACACACACCCAGGTTCAAAGACAAAATCTCCATCACCGCCAACCTCACCTCCACCACCACCGACGAAACCCCCGACCAAGCCCCCCAAACTGATCCCAATCCTGCCCCCCTCCGCCCCGGCCCCAAACTCCGCAAACGCTGCGGCTCCAACACGGTAATTTGCTCCGGCAAACACGGCGCTGACGTGCCCGTGTGTGAGACCCTAGTCCGGGGCGTCTTCCCGGTGCAGTCCCAGATGATTCCGGAGGACAATGACCACCGATCCATCTGCCTCGAGCTGGTCAGCAAGCGGTGCTGCGTCAACTGGTCCAAGACTCCCAAGGGCGCCTTCTACCAGGACCTGATCGACGCGGCCGAGAAACAGCTATATACCTGCCAGTTCCGCGGGGAGGTGTCGGCTAAGAGCAAGGACGTGCTGCTGGGCACTGTTTGTGTGAATCAGTGCATGGCTAGCTGGAACCATTGCAGTGGTCCGGAGTCGGATAGTAGTTACGACAAGGGGAGGTATGATGGGCAGGGATCCGAGTATTCGGATAACCCGGTGCCGGAGATTCTGCCGTTGCCTAAAAAGCCGCCGAGGTAGAGAGCCGGGCTGTGTGTGGCTCGGAGAGCTTGACGGGTTTGGGCCAGGTTGGTCAACGAAAAGAGGATAAAACGTGATCAAACGAAATCTGACAACCGCGACTTCAATATCCTGAACATAAAGACCATCATCAAACTCAAACGGCCCAAACATTATACGCTCGACGACTCGAAGTACAAGACTATTGTTCTTCCCGGCTTGCTAGCGACAGATCTAGCACTGCAAGACAGTTTGAGACTGCTATTGATCTTGGCCATCATTGATGGGGTATTCCAGCAACAGGTACATCGTAGGACGATCTCTATCGTCTCACTGTACCTCAAGACTTAGCCAAAACTGGCCTTCCCATCGAGTTCAAACCGGCCATGAATAGTATTCCTGTCCTTCGCCGGGTGCGTTCTGGCCGCACTACGAATGAGCCAGTCCAAACAGTTGATATACACCCTCGAATTCGACGTTTGGGTAGATTTTGTGGTTTCAGAAACCGCCTTGTTGGCTATTATCTTCGTCGAGGAGTGGCATACGCTCTGTCCGAGCAAACCACGACGGACAACCGACAATTCTTAATGGGTCATACGAAAGCGTCATCATACTGGCTCTATCACCCCCAGACGTCGATTATTGACTTCCCTGCCATATTCAGAGGATTGAGCCAACGACCTGTTACTCAGCTATCGTCTGTCTCACTAGCTAGAAGCAACAATGCCCCGCAGGTCATCTCGGACGAGGCTACCGTACGGATCGACGAAGGCCAGAGATCGTAAGCCTCAAGGTCGAAGTTGACGATATCCGCCAGATGCTCATCGAGAAGAAAAATTGTCCATTGGATAAGGAGAATTGTCCATTGGATAAGGAAAATTGTCCATTGGATAAGGAAAGTTGTCCAGCTAATTGAAGAACTCGATGGCAACGACGAGTTCAACTTTTCGAAGATGGTCAAGATAATAATGACAACAAGGACGAGGATAGCCAGCATGAGGTCGGCCAAGACGTTTTTGTAGCCATCCGCCGACACAATGTTACTACCCAGCGATTAAAGAGGGGGATCCGCAGGATCAAGTACCCAGTAACTTCAGCCTACAGAGATATCCTGGAGGAACTCAAACAAGCCCAAGGAAACGAGACACACACTGCCAATGTCCTGATGAAGTGGTTCAAGATCTGCCATGGCATTGATGATTTTGCTCCTGGAGAAGAGTCCTTACCAGGGCAGTACAAGTGCAGGTTCTGCTACCAAGAACTGACATAAGTGCATAAAGCACATGAGCATGTACACTCTTCTGCCAAAACCAACGAATTGGGCATCCAAAAAAATCCTTCTCGAAGCTATTTGCCCGTTAGATCAGCCTTATTCTTACCAAAAGTGCGGTTACGGTACCCAACACCTCCAATTTGTACCATGTGCAGCTACATTCGCAAACAACATGCGACTAGGAGAACACTACCGCACGCATATTCGAACCATGACCAAAACCTTGCCTGACAAAACTAAGCAATTGAGCTGTTTCTTTGGCTCTTGCGCTAGCAACCCACAAGGAGGCAGGCTTCACAGAGGAGGGCCAACCTTCTCGAGCGAGCAAGAGAGACTCTTACATGTATGGGAAGTTCATCAATTATATCCGGTTGGGCACCACATGTCGACTTCTACGAGTACTGCCATACGTGGCTTTCTGAACCTTAGGAATGGAATAAGCATTCGCCTACCTACATCACCGAAGCAGCAGCACTCATCCAGCAGCATGGTAATAACGGAGTGACCACCGGCCGGGTCGTCGTGCCTCGTATTTGCCCGTTCCGCTTCCATGACGAAGCAATCCCCGCCACTCAACGCGTAGCATGTTACGACCGGACTGGCTACGCTTACCACGTCGGTCGTCATTTGATTGATCTGAACATTGCGACCTCGACATGCCCATGCTTCCCCGCATTCTGTGGTCTTGACGAAGAGATGGACAGCGTTCAAATGGGGCTCCATCTGACGAACGTTCATTGCATCGACTGGGACAGGCGCAATTGTTAGTGGAAGCAAAAGAAGGCCGGCGGCAGTGGGAAGGGGACCAAGAAGATGAAGGAGACGGTCGGTATTCCTGACGATGATGGCGATGTTGATATTCTCTCAGATTAATGATGATGTTGTCTCAGGCCGATGATGATGTGTTTTGTTCTTTTTGCTTTGTCTTCTTTTTTTCTTCATGTTCAACAGTCTGGTGCCCATTTCCTTGATATATCGTGTACGAGTGTATGAAACCCTTTCGTTCTCTTCTCAAAAACAAGCTCTGCTTTGTGTGCCGTTCAGTTGGTTGACCAGACACCGAAGAGCTGCAGCATTTGGCTGACTACCAGTTAATCAGTGAATAACATCCTATTGATGATGATAATAATAGAAGAGTCACGAAAAAAGATACCAGAGATGGGTGATAGTTCAATTAGAAGGCAAGCCCTCTTTCTCAACCTATACCTAGTTCTATTCACGGATCTCTATGGCTATGCTGCCCGCTCAGAGACGAATACGAGTGTCTTCGCTGGAAAAACATTTCCTTTCATTCTTTCATGCGGGATGAGGCTTGCGTCTTTGATACCTTCTCATTTCGACAAACTACCTTATCCAATGGACAATTTTCCTTATCCAATGGGAGACATGATCCCTTTGGCGAACCTGATCGGGGATCGTAGCATCCAGATCATCGACTAATATAGGTTGGAGTTGTACGATGTTGTTTTCGTAATGCTGATTGTACTTGCGTTGGTATTCTAGACGCTCAGCTACATCGAGCATATTGTCGAGCTTCCTCGTTCCTTCAACGTAGTCTACCCACTAGGTGTCGCTCGTAGGCGATGCCGTAGATAGATTGCGATGCTTTTGGATAAGCATCTGGCGGATTTCGTCAAGTTCGACCTTCAGCCCGATGATCTCCGGCCTTCATCGGATCCGCGCTTTGGCTTCGTCTAAGATGATTTATGGGGCGTTGTCGAGTATGAGAGAATGAAAAAGAAATGTCTTCCAGCGAGGACACCTGTGTTCGTCTCTGAGCGGGTGGCGTGTGATCCCGGATCCGCGGCCACAGAGCTCTGTTAATAGAACTAGGTATAAGTTGAGGTGGAGGACTGGCCTTAGGTATATTTGAAAATCACCCATCACTGGCATCTTTCTATCAAGACTTTTTTATTGTTTGGTCTAGTGTAGTACCGTGTACATCTCGAGCTCCGGTCGAGCTGGCCACCAAGGTTCTCACAGTCGTGAGCTGTTACGTCACAAAAAGTACAGTCCAGTACTGGTTTGTTTGTTAGTTCGAGACCTCGTGTCAACTTTCCTATGCATTTTCATAGCTAACTAATGCGTAATCTCACCATGGATACGCTATTTCTAATATTCAAAATGCTATATAAAGTCCTGCTAATGCATTTTTATCTTCGTACTAGCTATTTTAATTCCTTCTTGCGAGGTTGGGGACTATTTGGAATAGTTTTCATTTACGTAGTATATAGAGTACGGTACAGTACCTAGCGTACACAGCTAACAAGCACACCAGTACTGGACTGTACCTCGGTAGCCCCTCCAGCGCGATAACCCCGTTTCGACGGTCTTAGTGGCTTCGTCTTCCCTGAAATGCGGGGGTGCCAGCCACTCTAAGGCGACACCCCCTGATCCCAGCTGCAACAATAGATCAAGTCAATCACCACCTCCCTTCAACCTATGTACTTAGGCGAACCCCGGCCGCTCGTGGTATCAGCCCGTTGCCGAGCTGAGATGACTCTTACCACTTCCGTCGTGTCGCGTCGTGGGGGGCCGGGAGCTTCCGATACTTTGACGGCTCTGGAAACGAACACAAAGAACCAAGACGCCGATGGATGCCGAGGTCCCCCGCGCTTGGAGCTCCAGAAGGGACGACAGGAGTCATCGTGACGGTGACTAATTTGGTTGCATGCATGATGGAAGTCTAACCTCGTGGGAATAGCTTTAAGGAGCTTCCCCTCTTTTGCTCCAAGCTCCCGAGAGCTCCTCCCAAGCTGTTATTCATTTTGTGTTCCCTCACTTGCTACAGTATCCTGATCCTGCTCCCATGCAGGAATCATCAACAGTGAGGTTATCTTACCACACCACAACCACAACCCGCCTCGTCAACAATAACAACAACCGCAAACATGGCGCCTTCTAAAATCCGCATCGCTACCGCCTCCCCCTCCACCCAATCCACCACCCCTGAAACCCTCTCGCAAATTGCCCACCTCTCCCGCCGCGCTGCCTCCAACCATGTTGACGTTCTCCTCCTGCCCGAGGCCTACATTGGCGGCTACCCCCGCGGCACCAGCTTTGGGTGCGTGATGGGCTCGCGGTCGGCCGAGGGGAGGGACGAGTACCTCCGGTACTTCCAGGCCGCGGTAGATTTGGGGGATATCGTTGGGGAAGGGGGTGCCGGGGGGCTGGAGAAGTGGGTGCGGAGGGAGTTAGCTGGTGACGAGATTCAGGGAAGGATGCAGGAGGGGGACAAAGGGGAGAAGGTGAAGAACAAGAGGGGGGATGGGACGAGGGAGGAGTTGGAACGTATCGCGAGGGATACGGGGGTGTTCTTGGTGACGGGGTGTATCGAGAAGGCGGGCGGGAGTCTCTACTGTAGTGCGGTTTATGTGTGTCCGAAGATGGGCATGATTGGGAAGAGGAGAAAGGTTATGCCTGTGAGTGTCTTTCCCCCTTTTCCTATGCGAATATACTTCTAACCCCAGAGCTCCCAAAAACAGACCGCTATCGAACGACTAGTCTGGGCCCAAGGTTCTCCCGCCACCCTTCGCGCCGTCAGCACCGTCATTCGCGGCGTCCGCATCAACCTCGCCGCCGCCATCTGCTGGGAGAACTACATGCCCATGCTCCGCCAGTCGCTTTACTCGCAGAACATCAACCTTTATCTTGCTCCGACCGCCGACGGCCGTGACACATGGCTACCCCTGATGAGGACTGTTGCCATTGAAGGACGCTGCTTTGTTGTCACTTCCAACATGTGTGTGCGCAAAGATGGAGGCAAGCAACAAGCCAAGACCAACGGTGGCCCCGCTCTCGCTCAGCAGCAGGAGCAACAACAGCAAACCGGCACGAGCGCCATCGCCGACCCCTTGCCGTATTCTCGCAACGACAGTCACAGCCGTCCCAAGCATATCCGCAGACAGTCCATCTTCGACGAAGACGGCAACGAGATCGTCCTGCCCTGCTGCAACGACCTAGGTGTTGTCGAAGTCGAGGCGGAAGCCGAAGTTGACGACGAGACCGTGTCCACCACGACGGCCAAGACTTCCTTGTCTTCTGCTGCTACTCCAGCAGCATCGGTTCCGGCTCCGGCTCTGGCACCTAAGCCGGATAACAATGGGAAAACGTTCAAATCCCCTGTTATTGATAGGTCCACTGGTGCCAAGACGGAGGAAGAGTTTGTGTCTCGTGGTGGCTCGGTGATTGTCTCGCCGTTTGGAGATGTGCTTGCTGGTCCGCAGTGGGAGGATGATGAGGGGATTATTTGGGCGGATGTTGACTTTGAGGATTGTATCCGCGGACGGCTGGATTTGGATACTGCGGGGAGTTATTCGAGGTATGCTTCTTTTCCTTTGCCTGGTGTGATATCTCGTTGTCTGGTGCGCGTGCAAAGCTAATTCTTGGTGCTTAGGAACGACTCCTTCAAACTCACGGTCGAAGGGCTTGACTTGTCGCCTTTGCCGTACCAATGAGAATAATGTTGGTAACGCCGGTATCTTGGTGCGTTGCAAAACGCAGTCCAACATGCGAGACTCCTGTGTACGAATCAACCAAGGCGTATTCTCTCAACATCTCGTACTGCAGCTAGATACTCTTCCATAAAATACTCGCTAATGTCAAGCGGACCAACTCTATATGTTGTATTACTCGACTACTCTAGTATTACAGTCCAGTACTAGTTTGTTTGTTAGCTCGAGACCTTGTGTCAACTTTCCTATGCGTCTTCACAGCTAACTAACGCGTGTTGTTACCTTGGAAACGCCATTTCCAATATTCAATATGTTATATCAATTCCTATCAATGCCTTTATAATTCTCAATCAGCCATTCTAACTTATCCTTATAAGCTTTAGGATTATTCGGGATTGATTTCGTCTAGTATACACCACCTGAAGTACCTACCTAGTGTACCAAGCTAATAAACAAACCAGCATCGGAATGTATATTGGGAAACTCCAAGAACGTGCTGACCCTGTCCTGTAAATAAGTAGGCAATTGCATGTCTCTGTGATCAATCTCTGGGGATCATCTCGCTTTCTTGAAATTTCCACCGACTCTATCCTGCCTTACACGCCATTATCGAAATGCATCTCTACGTGAAGATGACTGCTGTTAAGATGATTGTGAGCATCGCAAGACCAGAAGTGAATTACCAAGCCCTTCTTTACTAATAGATAGGTTGATAATCCTGTACAACTCTCGAACTGTCTGACTATTACCAATCTCTCCAGAATACCGCGGATAGTAAAAAAAAAAACCTATAAGCTGTACGTGCGAGCCTTCATTCCCACCACCTAATTTCACATTCTCCTGTCTAAACATATTGAAATTGCGTTGTGTGATGTCAGCTTTCTTTGGGAATTGTTATGAATTATGTGTACAATACATGTAAACGCCAACCAATACCGCCTAATGGGACCGAACAGAGACAGAAATTGACCCCGATGGGGGAGGAACGGTTGAAAAGAAGCAAGAGGTAACGGCGCTGAACAAGGATGCCCAAAGAAAGGGATGAAAGACCAACAACAGGAAAAGAGCATTCCGAAAGCGAGATCGAGTCCCGAAGAGATGCAGCTGTATGGAGGAAAACATGGCAAGTAAAACAAGAGTTGAACAAGACAAAAGCCAAGAACTTGATGCCAGAAGATGAATCAACAGCCCAGAAAGATTTTCAGTCAAAGAGAACCTGCCTGTTTCCATAGCGACGAACCATCAGAGCTTGCAAAGGTATCCCATTCTCACTTGAAAAAATAATGCACACGATAGACAGAAGAACAAAACGCCAACACTTGAGCCCTAGACATATAACCCGAGAATCCTGTTTCACCCATTACCCTGTTTCCGTCCCAGAACACCATGCCATTAGTATGTTCCTGTCCTGTCCCAATTCCTCAGCGTATTTACCATTATTCATTCCATTGATCCTCGTCACCCGTACAGCCCAGACTCCATCATGCCCTCTCCTCCCCTTCAACATCCTCATCCACATTACCAACCCCGCCACTAATTCTCCTTTCCCTGTCCCTGTCCCTCGGACTAGCCAATGGACTAGGCGACGCCGCAGCCGTGAGCCCAACCAAGCTCCCGTTCATCGGCGCAGAAGTAAATCCCCCACCGATACTGCCACTGATACTCTCCGCCCTTCCATGCCCCAGCAGCCCGCTCCTCACACTAGCTGCGTCTCCTCCAGCACCCGGCCCGCCGATGGCCTGCTTTGCGTAGAAGCTGTTCCTGTCGCTGGCTAGGATTCCTGTAGTAGAGGAGTAAATGCTTGTGCGATCGTTGGCCAAGCCGTTGGGTCCGCGGTATAAGCCACCGGGCGTAGTGGCGCCGGTAATGCCCCCACTTGTACCACCTTCCATGTTGGAACTGAGGACGCTGAGAGGAAGAGACTCGCGACTGCCTCCGAAGAGAGAAGAGGGCGCGAGAGCACGAACCGAGGCGTCAGTGTCGAAGGAGCGGCGACGGCGGCGCTTGGAGGAGGATGCGAGGGTTAGGATGGAGGCGTTGTCGGTCAGCAGGTTGTTCGCCGTGGCGGTATGGTACGTTGTTGGGTAGAAAGGCGAGTTTCCACCCTGACCCGAGGGCGCAAGATGGGCTGGAATGGCGGAGACGGGAGTGGCCGTCGTTGGGAAAGGTTGGTTGAAGTGGATGACTTGTGAGTTGGAGTGCTGAGAATGATGGTTGTGATGGTGGTGATTAGGGCTGTTGGACGTATTGGTGCTGTTCTGGTTGCTGTTGTTGGTGTGCATCGCAGCGGCGCCATTGGGCATCAAAGATTGTATTGTCGTCAGGGTTGTAGTCAAGGAGCGGACAGACGGCGCGGGGGACGAAAAGGTGCTATCATTTCCCCGACGGGAGTCGATATTTACGGTGCGAGTTGTGCCAGTGACCGAGGAGGCCCCGTAGGACGGCGCGGCCATAGAACACGAGGTCTCGTGATCGGTGACGACAGTTGGAGCTATAGTCGATCGACCGCCCATGGTTGGGGGTGGGCGGCCGTCGGCGGACAACCTGACAGACTCGTCGGAAGGTTCATTAGATGTTGTGCTCGATGTTCTCGCGCTTCTTGTCGAAGATAGCGAATAATGACTGGTCGGCGGCGGGGTCAGGGCGATCTGGATGTGGTCCGAGTTGGAGCGGCCAACGGCTGCGTATGGGTTGTTGTCGGTCTGTTTCTTGACGTTGTTTCGCTTGGAGCTGGCATGTCGAACAGCATCGCCGGGCTTCATGCTCTTCAGCTTTTTCATCAGCGACGAGAAGGGTCGTCGGCGACCAGTCCTCTCAGGACGATCATCTCGGTCTGGCATAGGGTCAGCGACTGAATGACGGCTGAAGTGGCTCAGTGGTGGAGCAGAATTGCTTCGATGGCGAAAGGCAGAGGCAAAGGAATGCATGTTGAACGAGGGACGGTGTGATGAATGGGTGTGAGGTCAGAGAGAACGAGGGGGTAGGTAGCGCAAAGAGTGGACAAGGTTTCAGATGAGAGAATCAGTACCGTGGTGACAAGATGTAGCCGTCTCGGTCATGATGATTGTGGCAGAGCAGAGCAGGAACTGGAGAAGACGGTGCCAGTCGAATTACACGGGCGCGGTTAGTAGAGTCGATCGATGTCGATATCTGGCGGATATGGTTATGGATCCGTGCGGTAATGCAGTCGCAAAGCAAGGGTCGTCGTCGTCTTAGCAGTCAGTGGCAGTGGCAGCGGCGGAGGCCAGTCGCAGAAGGTCGAGCAGTAGTCGTCAAATCATCAGTCGCGGGTCGGTGGAATGTTTGCTTGCCCGGGTCTAGTGTAGGTACAGGTAGAGGTAGCGTGTAGCTAAAAAATTGATGGTCGCCAGAGGAAGAAGGAAAGAAGATCAGGGCGCGAGTTGAATGGGCGACGGGACGATCGCCAAGGCCAGCGAGTTTCACCTGCTTTTAGTTGTGTTTGCCAGTACCACTTCCCTAACGGGCGGCTTGTGCACAGACTGCACTGACGAGACTGGTCCTGAGGGTAGATTACAACCCAGGTACGGTGGTCTTGTAACGACCAAACGGTTTCACCTTCCTGTCGCCGAGAGGGAGGACGGACTGAGGGGGATAGCTAGCGAGGAAGGAGGTGGATGGTGAACGGTGAGATGGAAAGAGGAGTGTTGTATCGAATACGTATCGATTGAAGTCGGTCGAGTCAGTTGCGAACGTAGCGTCAGTGCTTCTTTGACGGGCCTGTCGGCAAGGATATGTACACTAGACGTAGAATGCGATCATGCCATCTGTTGATGGGTTGACAGGTCAAGACACGGTCGCGGATTTCCTCAGGGACGAAAAGAAACCAAGCTGGTTTGTATTCGCAACTGGAAGGACAAATAATACCAACTCAGCGACTTGAAGTATGGAAAGCGGTCACAGGGTATGACAAAGAACCGTGATCGATTGCTGACTCTGAAAAGTACCACCACTACGACGAAGAGATGATGACAGCATCTGTGTCGCGTCTTTGTTCACTTTATTGGAACGGCAACGGCGCATGAGGTGGACTTTGGGTCAGCTGGGGTACAGTAAAGACCCTAGACTTAATGGACGCAACTAATCCAAGCTCTATGGGGAGTCTCGGAAACATCTTGCATTTGCTAGATATTTCTCATTTACTGGGGTCCCAGTCACATACGATTTGGGTGATTCTTGGCCGCCAGGCACTTGCAATTACTAGGTAACTTTATATAAACTTGCATGTATTGGGATTTCTACTGTACTGAATTGTACAAGTTGCACTGCACTGTCACTTTCCAGCCAACTGCGACGGCACGGCGACTGTCAGAAAAGGGATCCACCAAGTTCGGGCGGGCCTTTCCGATCTGTGGAGCCAAATGTTTCGACCCCTTGGGTCCGCTGTGGAGAGCTCCTGCTCTCACGTGCCTTGCCAAGAACCATGGCCATCAAGGTTCACTTGTCTCGCTCTCTTCAGTTGTCGGGGTGGCCAGTGCCAAGACAGAGAGAGCTTTGACCTGACGTCTTTCTGTTTTGCTTCTGAATGGCTTCATCCAAGCTGCTTCCTTCAACGGCATCCGCTACTAGGTACTTTCAATTCACAAGCCTTGACTACGGGCATTGACTGGCGCCTACGCATTAACCCATCGCACTTTTTATTCTTATACTTACGTCACCTCCATTCCATTCCCTGGCTGCATCTCTTGGGCAGGTCCCGTCCTTATAGAACTCACCTTCCAGAGCTCAACAGTGTCTGTTTGCATCGCCGACCACCCGCCGAGACCTTTCTGCCAAAAAGTCATGTTGGACTCACGTCAACCACTACAATGTCCATCCAACCACTCCCTGGGGACGTTATCGCCCAGATCAAGTCTTCAACGGTTATTACCTCCCTGAACGGCGTTGTTGATGGCCTGCTTCGAAACTCACTCGACGCCAGTGCAACCAAGATCAATATTTCTATCGACTACAGCCGTGGAAACTGCTCGGTCGAGGATGATGGGCTCGGTATACCTCCAGCCTGTTTTCGTGAGGAGGGCGGTCTCGGCAAGCTTCACTATACCTCGCGATATCCGCCACATCCCGATTTCCATGGAAGACATGGCCAGTTCCTAGCTTCTTTAGCAGCTCTGTCTCTGCTTTCCATCTCTTCTCATCATCATGAACACCGCTCACATAACGCTTTAACGATTCACAACTCCCGTATCGTGGCCCGCAACACTCCTGCTCTTCCCGAAGAGCGCCTTCTGGCCTTCCCAAGTGGAACGCGTGTTACTGTTCGCAACCTTTTCGGCTCCATGCCCGTCCGCGTAAAGCAGAGGGCCACCCAAATTGAACGACTGGGCACGGCTAAGAGCCTTGACCAGCTCATCCATACCATTGTTTCCCTCCTTCTTGCTTGGCCAAACGAGGTTACTGTATCCGTCCGGGACGCGTTTTCTCAACATTTTGTTACGCTTCGCACTTCCGGGATAGCCAACCAGTTCCAAGACCGTCGGAACCTTGCTGATGAACTGGTGCTGCGGGCCTCCAGCCTTTTTGCTCAAGCTTCACTGACTGAGGAACAGGACTCCAAGTCATGGGTTCCAGTTGGAGCCTCCGTACCTGGTGTTTCTGTGAGCGGCTGCTTCTGTCTCGTCCCTGTAGCAACAAGGCGGGTGCAATTCATGTCTTTGGGCATACGACCCCTATCAAATGAAAACGACTCCAATATTCTGTACGAGGAGGTCAACCGCGTATTTGCAAATTCCGGGTTTGGCGTCATCGAAGAAGCAGCACTCAACGAAGGGCAGCCAAGGAGGAGAGAAGGATTCACTTTAAAAGAACTCAAGTCAAGAAAAGGAATTGATCGATGGCCCATGTTTTTTCTTCAAGTCATCATGTCCGGGCAAGAGGGTTCTCTCAATGCCGATCACTTTCTAGACGAAAGGCAGCAGGACCTCTCCATCATCACCGACCTTCTTCAGGTGATAGCCTACGAGTTCTTAAAGAAACACCATTTCCGGCCCAAGCCTGTCAATGCCTTGGAAAGACTCAAATCTTCAAGGGGCTCATTACCCGAGTCCAGTGGTCTCAAAAGGTCTGGCTCCCCTTCATCCTCACAGGCAGCCTCCAGTCGCGACAAGAAGCACACCCCCTCGGGACTAGCGCGATCGACTCCCAGTAGTTCTTGGGCCAGCTCAGTCAACCGTCATATTAAAGAAGGTAGTTCAGCCTTTTCTACAGACGGAGCCGTCAAATCTGCCAGCACACCTACTCAAAATGTGGAAATTGTCCCGTGGGCTCAAAATCCACTGTTTGACAGAGCCGGTAAGCTCATACGAAAGCCGTTCGAGGATGTCGAGCCACGTCCATCAAGCAATGCTCCCTTCGCGTCACGAGGACCGAGTCGACAGTCCAGTCTGCCCCCAAGCTTGGACAGCAGCAAGACGGACAACTATGTGGAGTGGGTAAATCCCACTACGAATACCAGAACACTCATAGATCCGCGGACTGGCTTTGTGATTCGACCCCATTCTGCCCCCGGAACGAGACCTCAAGACACTCCAAAGCCACGTCAAAAGGAGTCACTACGTCAAGGTGGTGTCCCGGCGTCAAGAAGAACCGCTTTCAAGCCTGTCGAAGCTCCCATACCCCATGTGCCCGGGTTGTACGAGTCTTCGGAGCAAGGCGCTCATCATAGCTGTAGTCGCCACTCTATGGGAGCCGTCAATGTGGAACTAACCAATGGGGGGGCCTTGGTTACCTTGCAGGGCCGAATCTCCAGAGATGCCCTGCGTACGGCAATTGTCGTTGCACAAGTTGATAAGAAATTCATCTTTGTCAAACTGGCTCCCACGGAAGTAGACAAAGTCTCTCCCAGCTCCGACGCTGACCGAAGCGTCCTGATGCTGATCGATCAGCACGCGGCTGACGAGCGAATCCGCGTCGAAGATTTGATGAAATCTTATTTCACCATTGTCCGCCGCTCAGATACCACAGAGTCGGACCAAATCATGGCCCGAACGCAATCCCTGCAACGCCCTCTCCGCTTCGACCTGTCAAAGCAAGACGGGAACCTTCTTGTCAGATACAAAACACACTTTGAGTACTGGGGCATTTTCTACGAAGTCTTCGCACGCCAGGAACACTCGACGAGGTTCACCGTGGAAGTACAGTCACTGCCACCCAGCGTTTTGGAGCGGTGTCGGTTGGAGCCGCGAGTGCTGGTCGAGTTGCTTCGGAAGGAGATATGGAGGCTGAATGACAACCCCGGTCGGGGCTTGTCTGCGAGTCGTGGGATCAGCGCCACCCAGAAAGAGGGAGAACGTGACTGGGTCGCTAGGTTCCATGATTGCCCGGAAGGTATGTTGGAGTTGTTGAATTCTAGGTCTTGTAGAAGTGAGTTCTCCTTTGCTCCCTCGGCATGAGAGGTCATTATGCTAACAAGTCAGGCGCCATCATGTTCAACGACGAACTGTCTGTGGATGAATGCAGCAGCTTGGTCTTGCGGCTGGCCAATTGTGCATTCCCGTTTCAGTGTGCACATGGGCGACCGTCTATGGTTCCCCTTCTCGATCTGGGTGGTGGCTTCGTTCCCTATTCGGATTTGACTCTTCCGCACGATTTTGGCAGGACTCGAGGCGAGGGAAAAGGCAAGAACAACTTGTGGTTTGAATTGAGGAGTTGGAGACGGGATAAGATCAATGACCAGTGAACCTGGCAAACTCGATATATAGGCATCTTGAGAGGATTATCTGAGGCTCATGATATTGTGTGCAAACTATTTTTCAAAGCGAAGCTGACATTCCAGACACATATTTTCCTGGCATGAGTTGATTTTTAACGCTTCAGTTGGCAACCGCGGAAGATACAGGAAGACGGTTGAATGGAATGTTTGATGGGAGGACTTCAGATCAAGAGGGGTCATATGCTGGCGCTGCCGATGGCTTTGAAATTTGCAACACGCCAAAATCTCACTGACGGTGTCTGATGCCATGCATCGTCACTCCACACCTTTCGGGCACCTCTGATCAGTCACGAATCACGTTTCGGCTAGCGAGTAAAATCTCTTCGCGTAAGCAGCTATGCGTCGATATTACTTCATGATAATTATGACGATGGGCATGTCGACGGAAAAGATTTGGCGGAGTGGTGTCTTCAAAGAATGCGCGCAATAACCAGGCCGCCAGTGCAACATGGTTCATGCCGTGAAACATGGGACTGCAACCGCATTCTGAATGAACCATCAACCGATGATCAACCGAGGCGAGCGGGTACCAGGATTCGCCCCTCCCACTCTGCTATCTGACCGAACGGATGGAAGGATTCCAGCGAGCGGAGAAGGTGTGTGATGCCGGGGTGCGAGCGCAAATGTGTTTGTTCCTATCCCTACCATAGTAGACGTACAGTTCAATGCTTGAAAGTTTGTTAGCATAAGACTTGCACCCTCTTCTAAGAAGGGAGAGGCTAAGGATTGCAGCATTCCTATTGGTTCAAACCACCGCAAAACCAAACCAGCGTGTGTCTCACTCACATGCACCAAAACATTGATTCCATTCACAGCGGGCAATAACGAATGAGACGCTGTCACGCTAGGGCTTTAGTATAGCCCGCCAAAAAGTGGTAAAAGAGCTCTCTGTAAGTACCACGCTAACGAACCTTAAGGGGGTGAGCTGTACATCTATCTACTCCACTACCGAGACAAGACATGCAAATACATATCCGGAAACTGAGGGCCGGGGGTGGGCACAAGTTCACGAAGTGCATCAGTATAAGTAGCCTTTGTCTCCTCTGTCCTACAATGCTCAAGCCTCCTACGTCACTTTAGCTTCAAACACGAGAGAGAAAGGGCCTGCTCTCATGCTACCCACCTCAGCATCATCAGTATGAACACCACGACACCATCACCACCCGATAGCCTCATGTCAACCATCATACCCTCCTTACCTCTACCAACCAGTCTCGTCTGGAGCTGGACCACCATCCTCACCGTGCTCGTTCCCTCTTACCTCCTCCTCATTCGCTACCTCCGCTTCCAGCGCCTGCACTCCTACCGCACCCGCTTCCCGCACTACTTCGCCCCGGATGGCTCCCCCACCAATCTGGACAAAATGACCCTTCAAGACGCCCACCAAATCCACATGGACCTCTCCCAGCGCGAGTTTCCCTACCTCTATAGGCGCTCCCTCTTCTTCGCCCTCTTCAAGACCTACTCGATCCCCTCCATCTCGTCCCTTTTGCTAGCAACAGGCCAACTTTCCGCGACCAAAAGCGCTTCCAAGCGAGCCACCGACACCGAGGTCCTGATTGGGGAAATCATCATCAACCCGCCCTGGGAGAAGAGGGGGCTGGAGGCGCTGGCGAGAATGAATTGGTTGCATGGCCGCTGGCAGAAGGCGGGACGGATCAAGAACGGGGATATGCTGTACACGCTGAGCATGTTTGCGCTGGAGCCGGAGAGGTGGATCGGCAGGTGGGAGTGGAGGGAGGTGAGTGTGGTGGAGAGGTGTGCGTTGGGTGTGGTGTGGAGGGAGGTGGGGGAGTTGATGGGGATTGGGATGGAGGAGTTGGACAGGTTCGGGAGGAAGAAGAAGGAGGGGGAGGAGCGAGAAGAGGAGGAGAGTGGACTGGAGTGGATGGAAAAGATGAAGCGGTGGAGTGATTGGTATGAAGATACGGAGGTGCGGTATACAGAGAGCAACGAAAAGGTGGCGAAGCATACGGTGGATTTGTTGCTGTTGAGCCAGCCCAGCTTTTTGAGGGGCGTTGGGAAAGGGTTTATTGGGGTGTTGATGGGGAAGAAGTTGAGAGAGGCTATGAAGTATGCTTTCCCTCTTTTTTTTTTTTTTTTTTTTTTTTTTTTTTTTTTTTTTTTTTTTTTTTTTTTTTTCCTTTTCTCTCTCTTTCTCTCTCTCTCGCTTTGCCCGCCCCGGTGAGATACTAACCGTCATTCTACGTATAGTTTCCCCGAACCGCCTCAATGGCAAGAAAAGTCCCTGACCTGGTTCCTCCTCTTCCGCCGCTGGTTGCTCCTTCACCTCAGCCCTCCCCGACCCGAGTGGATGGTCCTCCACAAAATCGACAAGGACGTCGACCCAGCCACCGGAAAGTATCACTACAACGTATACGAACTTGACCCGTGGTATGTGAAGCCGACGTTTTGGAAACGCTGGGGACCGTCGGCCCTACTGAGTCGCTTGGCTGGGGCTCCGGTTCCGGGTGATGGGGGTAGCAGGTTCCAGCCGGAGGGCTATCACATCCATGAGGTTGGCCCCGAGAAATTGAGGGGACAGGGGAAGGAAGAGATTGAGGAGATGGTAAGGGATTTGGAGAGGAGGAGACTGGAGGTGTTGGCTAAGGGTGGTTGCATTGGTGGTACCGGTGGGAGGAGGTGTCCTATGGGACTTGCATAGGCTGTATAAGCTATAAGTGTGAAAAAGCGGCTATCGATAGAATGTAAGTATAAAGGCATGGAGAGTGGAGGACAACAGCCGGTGGGATCAAACAGGAGCAGTCACCTGCATGCCTCGAACTTAACAAGTATCGTCATGCAACAACCCTGACCCGCCTTTTGGTCCAAGTCGCCCGCTTCTGGACCTGTTGTTGATATATGAATCATGGAGACACCACGGCCCTTCCTTGAGTTATGAATAGTAAGAACTTGATGAAAAGTTTTTATCTCTCTTCCAATCTGGCAAGGGCCTCTCGATCGTAGATACCGAGGCTAATGTGAGAAGTGACGCTCAATGAGGTGGAGGTGGTATGTACATGGCGAGTGTAACCCTAACCCTGACATGACATTGTGTGTTGAACTGAACGGAACCGAACCACTTTTCCGTGGTCGCTGCCATCGAGTCTGGTGACCTCCGAATCAGGTTATCTGGCTTGCAATATCCCGAGCACCACCGCTTGCGCCCATCATCCCAGGATCGTTTCACTTGGGGCCCCCATCATGTCCAATCATCATGAGAATGCTTTTTATTACGGCAATGCGCCGCCCACCACACGCGTTCCCCTGCCCTCGTACCCCTCCCAGCAGATAACCGCCCAACAGTATCATCAGCCTCCCCAGCACGTCCAGCACGTCCAGCCAGTGCAACAACTCCAACAATTCCAACATCCCCAAATCCAGCAGCAGGCCTATGCTTCCCGTTCTCAGTCATCGCAGTCCAATCCCCAGCAGCAACAGTATGGGGCTCAAGGACAAGGCCAGCTTGATCAACAACCACAGCAACCACAGCCAGAGCAGCAGCAGCAGCAGCAGCAGCAGCAGCAGCAGCAGCAGCAAGAGCAGCAGCAACAGCAACAACAAGAATCCCAAGAACGGCAGACCCCGGAGGAGCCTTCAGAGGACAGGCCTGCCAAGAAGAAGCAGAGGATCACCCGGGCGTGTGATGCCTGCCATGGCCGCCGTCAAAAGTGCCAGGGCTTCCAGCCATGCGCAAACTGCATCAAGAAAGGCGTAGAGTGCACCTACAACAACCCCTACTACCGAGGCCGCGCAAGGACTCCTCCTCCACCTCCCAATGATCCCAACACCCGCAACTTTGCCCGTACTACAGACATCCGCGGAAAGGAGATACGCGAGCGAAGCTGGGTCAAGCGAGCCTGCGACATCTGTCGAGATGGACGCCATCCCTGTTCAGGCACTCTACCGTGCGATAGATGCTTCACCATGAGGCAGGAGTGCACCTACAAGAAACGCAACAGTCGCAACCGATACGAAGATCTTCCGAACCCGGAACTGAGAGGTCCCTATCACAAGCCCGCACTGGTTGATGCTGTCTTGGGGCCTGACGATCTGCCACAGCCTGTCCAAGGACCTGGAAATGATGGGGGTGATGCTGAGGGACAGGCCATGAGAGACGACATTGCTCGCCATGGCGGCCCTGGACAGGACTACCTGAGCCTCAAGGTTGATCGCCGCTACGGAGATGAGGACACTCCACCTCTTGTCTTTCTTCATGCGGCTTGGAAAAAGCTTGCCCAGGTCCAGCGTACTTCTCGGCTTCCTCTTGATCAGCCCTGGGACCGTTCGACAACCGTTCGGTTTCCATCCAATCGACAGAGGTGGTACCAACAGCAGGACCACTTCTTCAGGAGCTGGAACGGCACCTTCCATTTTCTCCATCGTCACACCGTACGGAATTGGTTGGAACAAGTTGAAAAGAACTTTGTGGCTCGTCAGGAGTTGTGGTATGGTGTAGGCCATGCCCGTGCCGCTGTTGCCCTTATGACCATGGCTCTTGGCTCGCTCTTCAGGGATGCTCCAAAGTCGTGGGTGCGCATGAACAAAAAAACCGGCAAGGCGATGAAGAGCAGGAAAATGCCTCCTCCAGACGACTATATCTGGTCCCTCGAATACGGCGATTCATTGCTAAACACCGCCCTAAATCTCACAGATGCCGAGAAAGGCGATCCGAGGTTAGACTCTGTCCAAGCTCGCCTCTTGCAGGACTTGTACCTCTTAAGCACATGCCGTTTGAACAAAGCTTGGTATACATTTGGCAATACCCTTCAGATGATCACAAACCTCGGTCTTCATCGGCGTGTGGGCAGAAACCGTGGACTTGGACGCGACATTATCAAAAGACCGGACTATGCCAAGCTCCAGTGCGAGAGGCGAACATTCTGGACGGCTTACATTATCGACAAACAACTCAGCATGGTCTTTGGACGACCCAGCCACTTCCGTGACGATTTCATCGATCAAGAGCTTCCAGACGCTGTCAACGACGAGGACATGGGCCCCACTGGCCCTGTTCGAGCACACAAGGGGGATTGCTACATGGAAGCACTGGTCTCCCATGCCAAGTTGAACAAGCTCATCGACAAGCTCCTCCACCAAGTATACTCGCTTCGAGAGATCCCCAACCAGCAAAGGATCGATAGCGCTCTACGCATTGGCAAAGAGGTTCAGCAGTGGAGGGACGAGCTGCCATACCTCCTCAGGAATCTTAAGCCCACCTTGCTGCTTCCCCTTTTCCAGAGGCAGATGGTTTTCATCCGGATAGCACACTGTCATGCCACCATGCTTGCCTACCGGCCCTTCCTCACCACGCCCTACCCTCAATCAGGCGAACTGAAAGAAGCCACTGACTACGCCATCCGCGAGTGCGTCGACGCGGCACGAGTCAGCCTCAGTGTCGTCACCGGCCTTGGTCGCACAGAGGACAACGCGCAATTCGTGACGCTCTGGTACCCCCACCAGGTCGCCTACTGCGCCGCCGTCGTCTTGATCATCCTCCCGCACATTCGCGAGCGCCAGAAATTGTTTGGTGGCCCTCACTACCGCGGCCATGAAGTGATGGATGGCAAGTTGCACAAGCTGGTGGAAAGAGGCATCAAGATGTTGGCGTCGGATACCAGTCCCTATTCGCCCGCGCGCAAGTGGGCCATCATATTGGAGGAGCTCAAAAGGGAGGTGACGCGCCAGACAGGTCATGTCTTCCCAAGTCTGGCGAGCGGTGCTAATCAGAAAGCTGCAAAGGAGAATACCCCAGCGGATGGGGAGGAGAATGGGGAGGAGGAGGAGGAGGATGAGGAGGCTGAGAATGAAGTTGAAGAGGCTGATGGCGTGTCGCCGGATGATCAGTTGCTGGAGGATGCCCTTCGCGCTCATTGGGCGGCAGAAATGGTTGGATCGGTGCAAGATCAGGTTGCAGATCAGGAGGGGGAGGCCACGACGCCTGGTTTCACGAGGAGGCTTTGGGATAACTGGACGTTTACGGATTGGGCGGATCTTGACTCTGCAGTAAGTTGGCTGGTTACATGCTGTTTGAATTGCCGTGCTAATGGTTCCCTAGACCTTTGGACCTATTGCCGACTTTGCTGAAGATCCAGCTCCAGCTCCTGCTCCTGCTCCTGCTCCAGTCCCAACTCCAGGTTTAACTCCCGTGTCAGCTCCGGCTACGGCTCCGGCTCCGGCTCCCGTTACAGGTCCCGCCCCGGCGCCGGTGTCGGCTCATGCTCAAGTTTCTGCGGTTTTCGCACCCGTTTAAGACCTGTCCAAAACTCCATATCCATGCATGCCGTACAATTCCCAATCCTGATACAATGCTTGTAATGATGCGTTCTTGTCCGTCCAACTGTTCCTCATCGACTGTTCGCGCTTCCAGACCTTGGTGAGGGAGACCCATAAGATGATTGCGCCAGCGCATTTACTTTGGCCTCCAAGGTACCAATCCGACCCAGTATCCCGTCGAGGCCGGAGTTGTTCATCAACCTTTCGGTGACGGTGGGGTCACTTTGAAGATATGTCTCGAGGCGATATGAGCTTTCTGATGATTTACTACAGCCCATATGTCAGTGTGACCTTTGGAACAGTTTGAAATGGTTGGTACCACTTACTTGGCCTTTGAGGGCTTTGAAGTAGGAACCTTGATCGGTGTCATTTTGTATGTGGATTTCTGAGGGCGGAGCCGAGCAACTGTGTTCTTCTTGGAAATTTCGGTTTTGAATGGAGAACATCTTGAAATCCTGCTCCGGGGGAAAGTTCTAACCTTTTATCCTCCACGAAAGTGGCTACTTGAGAGGCCAGGGACAGGAGGCCAGGGACAGCAAAAGATATGAGAGAGGCCTCGACTTTGCGGTTGGGCATTGTCCTCCACAACGTGAGGATTGAAATCGCCAAATTCAGCCCGGGAGGCTCACCCGGGAGGCACTTGGTTATTCGGAATTGATCATGGCGACGCCAGCAAGGGTACCTCTATATCCCAATCATGGCCTTTTTGATCATCGTGTATAGCCGGCCCTCATCGTTGTCAACGTTCACAACACAACACTCGCCGAATCTTCACCTCTCGTCGCAATTGAGTTGCTCTTGTTGGAATTTTAAACGCGTCATCTGCCTCAGAGAAACAGCATCATTGATGACAACTCACTGTAAGATTCGTCGGCCGGCCTGATGCCGCGATAAGGTGTGGAAAAAAGGGCCAATTGGATGTTATACCCCTTTTCCACAGCCTCGCCTACTGCATGTGAGTCTCGATTACCTCTCCCAACATGGATATAGGGACTCTCCGCAATTGAGCAATTACCTTATGCACGAGGTCACCACAACATGTCGGCTGCATGCCGGGAGACCAGGCCAAGCCAACAATCCTCAGCGGGCATTGGTGTTAACCCTCTTTCGGCATGTCATGCGGGACCTACCTTTACTACCCTCCTACCTTCGGAGTATCCCGCCGCCGCCGCCACCGCACTTTGATCTGGGTTGCAAGGTCGCAGAATTGCAGTTGCAATGCTTCGTTGATCTTACACCACTGCTCATCCTCGCCCAGTTGTGTCCCGCTTCTAGGAAGTTCATTGGAGAATTCGAGGTTCTTGCTGTGGGATCTTCGGGATCTTGGAAGGGGTGGTGGGTGAGGTGTGGTGTATCATGACACCAGCTGATGGAGGGCTGTATCTACACCACTCTATCTTGTTCCTTCTCCGCATTTGCGCAAACTGCGAGCAGGTATTTAACGTTTGGGGATTTTGGTCAAGTTTTGCTCACCTTGTCCATCCGACTGGTCTGCTATCAAGCTTTCAATTGGACTTCATCTCGTACATTTCTTTTCGAACCCAATTTTACAATTCTCTCATCCGATTCCCACGAACCTCCGTCTCTACCTGGTAGCTAATCATAGTTTGGTTAGTCGAAGTCAACATTACCCTTTGGTCCGTCCATATTCCAGCATCTACTCCTTTCCAGGCCTTGGTTCCATTAGGTACTGAGTTCTTGTCTACCTTCATTGCTCGACATACCTCTCCAGCCTTATCAGGGCAGCCATCCATATATACCATACCCACCAACCCAGCTTTCCAAGTCCGAGTATTTGCATCGCCAGGATATCACCGCTGATGTCTCTGGCTTGGCGCTCTCTAGCCCAACACGGATCGATTTCATGATTGTTCCGGCCCTTGATGGAGGACGTGTGTATTTCCAAGTTAGGCAAAACTCCAGCCAACAGCTCGACAGCGACGACGACTGAAACCGCTAGCAGCCTCCTGAGCAGACGAAAGAAACTGATTCTTCAGCTATCTATGGCGAGGTTCGCTCGTAAGCTTGACGAATGGCTTGATAAATTCCCCGAGCAGCCCTCTCCCAAGACATTGAAGCGGCCTCGAGGGGCCGTTGAAAGCAATCACCCATACAACCAGGACCAGGATAGCGCTGCCGCAACTGAGGATGAGCTATCCAAGCATCAGCATGCACAATGGCAACATTATCACGCTGTGACGGGGAATTTCAAGAAGGCGACCACCAAGCGGGCGAAACACCATGGCCCTGAAGCACCAGGAGGAGAAGGCCGCAAGTTCGCTTGTCCGTTTTGTCAGCACAACCCCGCCAGATATAGGACTGTGAAGACATGCTGTGGACCGGGATGGGATAGTGTTCATCGGGTCAAGTGCGCCCCCATTCCTCACGTTCATCTATTCACTTTCAAACAGTACACTAACACCTAACCCCAACCCACAGAGAACACATCTACCGCCGCCACTCACTCAAAAACACCTGCCCCCGATGCTACGATCAATTCAAGACAGACGATGACCTCAAGAGCCATCAAAGGGCAGAAACGCCCTGCCGACTCCGAAAGGACAACGTCCCCGAGGTGATCACCGACGAACAAGACAAGAAGCTACACGCTAGAGCCAAGGCTGGGTTGTCAGAAGAAGACAAGTGGAATGATATGTACTGTATTATCTTTCCGGGGCCAGCGGGGTCGAAGATCCCTTCTCCTTGTTTGTCTTCCTTTTCCTCTCCTTTCCATCCTCGTTTCGTGTACTCTCTCTTCTCTCCTTCATTCCTTCTTTCTTCCTTCGTCGGGTTCTGACAATCTTCCATTTACAGATTACGACACCTCCACTCCCACCACTTCCTCCTCCTCATCTAACACATCCCCTTCTTCGACAAAGAACAAGACCCCGACAGCTCCACCAACCGCTTCAAACTTCGACATCTCCTCCTTCAAAGACCTCCTGCGTCGCGAACTCCCCCGCTATGTCGAGCCCATCTTCCGGCAGGAGCTCGACAAGATGATGACGTCCGTACAGACGCAAATGAACCAAAAGGCCGATCAGCTGTTCAAGGACGTGGTATTCAAGTTTAGCCGAACCTGGGTGTGGCCTGCTACAACAACTGGTGCTGCCGGTCCTGGCACTACCGACAACACTGCGAAAGTGATTACGCCGCTTAGCAGCCCACTCAGCCCTAGTTCGAGCCGGTTCGGAAACAGCCCCGAAGACGCCAATGCCGGTGCCGGTGTGAACGGCCACCATGGAGACAGAAACGAAGAGGGAGGAGAAGGTGACGAGATTGATGGGGTCACGTTCCCAGAAAACCAACAAAGCCCATCCTGGCTCGACTCCCTCGTCGAAACCTTCGATCCCAGCAGTCTCGACCTCCCCTTCTTTAAGAATGGCGAAGTCGATCTCGAGGCCTGTTTGGAGGGGATGATGGGCAATGGTGGTGACGAGGTTTCGGATTCGGCATATGGTACTTTGCCGGCGTCGGAGGGCCAACACGGTTCTCATGGACTCGGGTTGGGGATGGGCATGGGTGTGGCTGGGATGACGGGGGTTATGGGTTTGGGGGGGCAATGGTAAGATCACTTATCAGATGAAGGGTGGATGGAGGGGGGTAGCTCCTAGTTGGAGGTGCATGGCATGGTTGGTGTGGGCAATATTTTCTTTCCTTCCTTTCATTCTGTCTCTGCTTCTTATTTCGAGCCATCTTGTGGGTTGTCTGGCAGCAATTGTTTCGATGATAAGACATTACTGTCATCCCTTCACTATGTTGCCCGTTATCTTTTTTGCATAACTTTGCGATTTTCTTGAGATCTGTAGATGAAGTGCTAGTCCAAAGGTGGACAGCACCCGGCCCTTGTCGAGTCCGGGCACGATACCTGAGCTTTAGACATGGTCTGCGGAAGTACCTCTATCACATCGACAACTCTGCGGCTTCCCGTCCTCACCTTTCTAAGCCGCTAACGAGTGGTTCAAATACCCGACTCATACCCACAGGCGAAATCCTTCGGGCTGTGCTTTTCCGACGGGTGACCGAACATTCTTCAGGCTGTTGAGGATATGCCTGATCATCAACGGCCAGGGTTTAGTGAAGAAGTCAAGCACGCCGTGTCGCCACATTTTCGCCCAACATGTTTCTCTAACACCTTCTCTTTCTGGACAACCGGATCAAGCCTTGCGCCATAGTGCGCCATAGTAAACGTTCGTGTTATAAATCATGTCATGGCTTGGATAGCAGCTTACGTTCCCCAATTCTCGACACATTTGTCTCCACCTCCCAATCTCTTCCAGGTCTTCCTCGTAACAGGTTGTTTTGACACTTTTAGGGTCTATTCAGAGCACCATGGCCTCCCGAGCCAGAATTCCTAATCTTCAACTGGGTATACGACTTGCCTGGGTATGCCTCTTGGGCATATTTAGCTCGGTAGCAGCTCAAGACAGCATTCCTGTGGTCAGCTCGGCAGCTCCGGAAGCTCAAACCACCCTCCCACCAGGCGATGTGAAGGGCACCTATATCTATTCCTACGGAGATAGTATGTCCTGCGCTATATATTTGTTTGGGGTTTCGCTCTGTTCTAACTTGCTTTCATTAAGCGGTCCCTGTGTCCTGTGGACCGGGGGAGAGATTTATGTACTCTTCCAGTTACGCCGCTTGCTGTGCGTCCAAAGCCCAATGCGACTTTGCGGTCGGGTGTGATGGTTCAGTTTTATTGTTCAATGGAAAACCACATAGCACTTGGTGTGTTAAATCCCTTTGCAAGCTTACTTATGAAAGGTTACCGGATGCCTAAGCTGACCCTCTCTTCTTATAGTGGAGGCAAATACCCAGACTGCCGGGGTACTACTATCTTTGACAGGTTTCCCTCACCCCTCACAAGCTGGATGGACTGGGTATGTACCTCATGGTACGAGGCAGTTCCTACAATCTACCAAGAAGTAGACCCGAGTGCGGTAGCCTCCGTCTCCTCGGCATACTACAACCGCTTCTCGAGCGATAGCCAAGATCAAACTACCGTGGAGATAACGCAACATGTTACCGTGATAATATCATCGGCAATATACACCTCAATCGTCACCCAACATAGACCAGTGAGCTCGTCGAACATTTCACCAGAAACTGAATCAAACACAGGGACAGTGGTGAGCTCGTCAAACAAAACAGAAAATAATCTATCTACCACCACCAGCAATTCAACGCCTACATCAAGCACAACATTTGACGGGAATCTCGTCCCTGAGACAAATGCAAGGCGTGCTTCATCAAGAGCCTGGATAGCCGGCGTCGTGGCTGGACCTCTTCTCGCATTGGTAGCCGTCGGTTGCCTCATCTTTTGGCTGAAACGACACAGGCGAAGGAAGACATTGGCAGACAGCGGATACTCGGAACCTGACGTACACTCTCACGATCCTCCCTATATTCAATCCCACTTTGGACAGTCTACGGCACCGGAAAAGACATCTGATGCTCATCCTGTTTGCGAGCTGGAGGCAATGGAGGTGCATCAAGTACCTTTCCAGGGAACAGGTGCAGCGATGCGATTGTAGATCGTCCATCGGAAATCGGCAATTCATGGTATATCAGCTATCGATTGCCTTTCAAGATATACTGGAGATGTGGGAAATCTCTACTGCTTTGACATGTGATTATGTTGGAAAGGTGTATACGCTGATATCTTTACTGGTATTCCCGCTCTCATTTGACGCAATTCATCACCGATCAAATTGAGACGCTTCATCTTTGTCGGCCCTTGCGGCCTTGCCTCGCCCACACTGCGAATACGTACTCATTCACTGGACTTATTGTTGGATTTATAAAACACAGATATGCTCCTGTCCCACGGTGTGTACTGTCTTTAACTCTAAATCTTGTTTATCTCGCTAAATTACGCACTCTCCTTCTATGATACCAGTTTAGGAGACGACCAACTATCACAAACTCCACAGCACTTACTTTGGGAGGTGGTTGTATTTGATGCAGCGAGGATTTACATTACCTTTGCCTATGCTAGGACTCGAGAAGTATCCGATATATATATAAGGCATATGAGAAGGCACACGTAAAAATCAGTTTCGTTCCATGACAAAATTGATGAGACCTTTGCAATACGATACCGCTCGTTGTAGTTAGGAGAGACGGTTGCAAAACTGTGATAGGGATTATGACGATTCGAAAAGACATTGGCTAGAGTCCTATTTGAATTTTTTTATCTAGCAATTGCCTAGAACCCAAGATCAGATGCGTAGTAGGAGTTTACCCAAGGTATAATGTCAAATGCCGCAACTATATTGACTAGGAAGAGCCTAGCACGGGTTTCAACTTTCCTGCTCCGGGCGAATCAGTGTACCTGGCAATAGTATCATAATCCCGGAGGACCAAAAAGTCGGGTGTGTACCTAGAGGTGCTCAAAAGAAAACCTCAAAAAAAAAGAAAAAAAAAACATGAAAAATAACATACAACACTAGGGATTCGCTGGTCGTCACCGACCCAACTACTAGTCTGGCCCTCACTGGCTTATCTATGGGAGAGCGGACGGGATCCCGAGTTTTCCAGTGGGTATGGTCGTATGTGATGATTACTTTGCAAAGTATAGTTTATAAAGCAGTTAGTTATTGTTACTTCCTATGTGATCCCGTCTCTGTTCATTACGTGAGAACTGTCTGCTAGGTGTAAATGGGTTTCTCGGAAATGCATGCATGACTTTTAGATGCACTATACGTATGTACATACTCGTTAGGACTGCCTGACTCCTAGCTGCGCCAAGGGGGAGGGAAACGGTCCTAGTCCTAACGAGTAGCGTAGGAATCATCAGATCTTCCAGAAGATCGGTGGTGAGGGTTTAACATCCAATCCATCCATGCTAAAAAAAAGCTATGTGGCGATGATTCCTACAGTGAGTAAGGTACCCACTTTACCTTGAAGTGCATGCGCTTCCAACCCTGGCTACTATGACGACCTTGTTGACAGCGTCGACAAGAGGAAGCCAGTAGCTTCGGAACCAACCGCACCTCTAACAAATACCATAGCCTCATTCCCCTCAAAATCAGATACCTCGTCCTCAACGAACCTTTAAGGTATAGAGAAGCCTTCATTATCTCACGCATTTACAATAACTCGACTAAGACCTTAACTCAACCCTCAATGGAACTACCTACGGATTCTGGAGAATTTCGGCAACGGCAGTTACTGTGTCCTTTGGACTGGGAAGAAGTCTCTAATGACGGCCTTCAAGTTGTGTGTATGAGACCGAGGCAGTGCCGGCAAAGGGGACGAGGGAAAAGCCTGCTGGGTTAGGGTACAAGTACAAATTGGAGGTCGTTGGTAGTCGATAGTTCATCTATGGCCAAACTGAACTATTACATTTTTAGCTATATAGGTAAGAAGTCAAGTCAAACCAAGCACATACGACCATAGATGGTAGAAAACTCGGGATCCCGTCCGCTCTCCCATAGATAAGCTACCAATCGCCTGACTAGTAGTTGGGTCGGTGACGACCAGCGAATCCCAGGTGTTGTATGTTTTTTTTTCCCTCTTTTCTTTTACTTTTTGGTGCGAGTCTTCGTTGGCTTTTGTTTCGATCGATTTTTCTTCGGTTCTTATCTTCTGTTATCCCCTTTCTCTGTAAAATGTGGGTTGAGAAAACAAGCGTGCACAGGATCTAGAAAACTTTACGGGGCCGACATCATCAAGCAAGCTGACAGCTAACGTGCCATATCGACAAGTCTACAGTCAACATAGGCGCGTTGCTGGAAATTTGAGATTTGGAATAATGCCGATAAACGTTCTCGGAAAATCAATGAGGCTCCGCGCGGCTCCTCTGACCTTTCAGACTTCAGTCACGATGTGGTTAAGAAAAAGGGCTGGTCCGCATGGATCGTCAACGTCATGTCGAGACTTCCCACTCTCGAAACACGTACGATTACACACACACACACATGATAATCAACCCACCTGCTAGACTTATACTTGACCATATCCAGGTAGTAGGAATTGCTATGTCGTAATAGCGGAGTGCTACCATCTCTCCTCTTCAGCTTCTTTGCCATACGTGGGTGTATTTACGTTACTGGCGCTCCAGGTCCAGGTCAAACATGCTCCCTTCTCGTCCACCATTTGCACATCGCTTATCTCCTCATAAAATTATCTCAACACTTCAGATGGCAAGCAAACCCAACATCTACATTGTGCACGGCGTCTGGCGGCTTCGCACCACCGGGTCTACCCTTCGTCACCACAGCCAAAGAGGCAGGCTACTCCGTCATGTTCAGCCAGTTACCTAGAGGTACCGTGGACGGAACCGAAGTGCCCTTCGCCGCTATTCCAGAACGACGCGGCCTTGGTGCAAAATAATCTTCAAAAGCTGGTCAACGAGACATAGGGAGCGGACCTAATTCTTGTCGGTCACTCCTCAGGCGGTCGTGTTACCACCGGTGCCGCCGAGGGCTTAGACGCCACCAGTCGCAGGAGGCAGGGTAATAAGGGTCATGGGTGTTCTTTTTGAGCGGCGTTTGCGGTTAGAAGGGGGGAGATGATGTCTGATATTTTGGGGGAGGAGAAAAGGGACGAAAATAAAAGTGATCAGATACCTCTATGATTTCCCACTACCATGTCTTGCAGAGAATGATGACTTTCATGCGACTTTGTTTAGTAGGTTGACCGCGCCTACCTCTACCAGGAACCAGCCATGGACGTCCTTACTGATCTGCCGGAGGAAGAACAGCAACACTGGGGTGTACAAAACGCGCATACTACTGTTGGCTTGTTCGACACGCCCTCTACTTTGAGCGTTGAAGCAATGGGATCCCTTGCTCGTATATTTACTGCGAGATGGATAGCTGCGAAGAAGATTGATCTTGACTGTGGCCACTTTCTGTATGTGAGCATGGTGAAGGAGTTGCTCGCGGTGGTGGAGGAGCTTCTTTGCGTAATGGAAGCCCGAAACGGCTGGGTGGACACTCCGCATAAGTCGCCGCCTGGGTTGTTACAATGATCTGCTTTGCAGCAATACTAACCAAGGGATGAACAGGCAATATCTATTACAAAGAACAACAGTCCTTTCTTCCATTGTCTGGGTTGACAAAGCAAGGAAGATCCCGTTGACAAGATCTTTGCCAGGGGTCAGGAGAACAAGGGCGTTGATTGATGGGACAAAGACATGGAGTCAAGCCAAGAACGACCACCAACCTTAAAGCTAAGAATAAATAACCAGATGACAAAGGTCTGTTTGTTCGTTGGTGTTGATGTTGCTCCAAGGCTAAATGAATCATGAGGCAATGCCCACCAGCCGGCTTTATATCCTCATGCGACCGTATCGACTTTGCTTCTGTTCTGCTGCCAAATGAACAACACCCTTGCTCACGAGGAGCAAACCTCGTCACCAATTATTCTGTCACTCAATCCAAGCAGCAGAGATCTTGACATAGTAGATCGAGCTCTAAAAAGCAGAGAGAGCAAAAGACGAACTCCTCGCCGTCGAGATCAAGATGGCCACCATCCGCCGCAAAGCTTCGTTCTCCCATCACGAGGAGGTGGGCGATACCATCCACGTTTGCCTCTCCGAAACCATTCACGTCCACGCGCCCAAATCTACATGTAAGCGCCGACGCACGAAGAAACTGCCTTCGCCGAGGTCAAAGCCCCCAGTGTCAATCACCTATCCTCCACTGGACCCCAACACCGGCGCGCCTGTTCCTGATCCGCTTCTTTGCGATGTTTACCGCCGTCAAACCCTATCTGAGCTTGAGGAGGACCTTTCCAAAGTTAACGCCACAAGCACCACGGAAGATGGCGGTTACTCCATTCCCACCCACGGCCAACGTACCCAGCGCTTGCTTCATTCTCTTCTCCAGAATGCATCGCACCCGAAGACCAATTATACACCCTCTAGCAACACGGACACCGACTCCGGTCCCATCGAAGCGCTCTATCTCAACCAAGCCCAAGCCACAGCGCTAATCGAATCTTCTCACTATGATCCCAACGTACTTTTGATCGTCCAAGATAAGCGATACTTCGAACCCACTCCCACCGTATCCCTCCCGTTTACCAGCTCTCAAACCCAACCAGAACCGGAGGCCACAGCCGGGAACAACACAGACCGATTCCAATACCGGCCCATCACCCTCTTCTTTGACCATCTTCTCCCTACTCTCCACCGCCAAGTCTCCGTCCAGATCCCCAGTCAACCGGTGACGGAGCCTTCGGGACAGCTGAGGACTTTGAGATCGGTTCGCGCACGGTTTCACTCGGAGGACATGCATGCACACGAGGTACATGAAAAGATGAAACAAAAGGATGATCCATGGAATGTCTTGGATCTGTCGACGCCTATACCTTCTACCACCCCTTCGTTTTTGCAAGGGCCGGGGAGTCAAATGTTGAGATATATCCGTTCGGAGGTGCTGATGACTGCTGGGTCTTCTGGTTTTATTTCTCCTCCAGCGTCTCCTACGGTAGTTAAGTCGGGCTTGGTGACGCCGCCAAGGGATGCGAGGAAGTGTACGCCTGTCCTTGAGGGGGGAAGCACTCCTGAGCATGAGTCCACTGCTACTCCTGAACCCAACTCGAACACTCTGCTTTTTCCTAACCTTAGCGTCAACAACCGCAACTCTTACCCCGATCCCACTTTCATTTCCACTCCCCCTCCCAACTCAATATCCTCACCAGCTCCCGCACCAAACACACCACCAAACACAACCCCATCCAAAAAGCGCGGCCGCCCTCCCAGCTCCAAATCCCACACCCAATCCCCATCCCTCAAGAAACAACGAATAACCGCCAAGACGCCAGAAAAAAGAGCCGAACGCCTGCGCGCCTCCCCCTCTTCCTGGAGCGAATGGACCAACGTGCAATCCTGGTCCCTTCTCTCCCAAGGCGGCCACCACACCCCTCCGCACTGTGACGCTTTTGGTTTCGACACCTGGATTACCGTACAGGAGGGCATGGTTGGGTTTGGGTGGTTATCTACCGCATCCTCTACCCCCGAATCCAAAGCTGAGGCTTTTGGTGAGAGGGAAAAGTGGGCAGCAGATCCGCACCAATATGCTGAAGGTCCAAGATGGAGATTTGTCATCCTCAAGCCGAAGCAGACTGTGTTCTTTCCTAGCGGGACGGTGCACTTTGTTTTTCGGCTCAAGAGTCAGGATAGTTTGAGTGTGGGTGGTCATGTGTTGCGGTGGAATGGGGTGGAGAGGTGGTTGGAAGTTGTGCTTGCGCAGATGGGGAATGGGGAGATTACGAATGAGGATATGGGGTGGGGGACGGTGAGGAGGTATGTGGATGTTGTTGGGAGGTTAGTTGCTAGAAGGGAGAAGGAAGGAGGGGAGAAGAGGGTGGGGGAGGAGTGGGAGGAGTTGGTTAAGGTAAGTTTGTCACTTGTCGACGTGTAAAGGGTGGGTTGCTAACGATTGATCACAGAAGTTCAAGGACTTATCGAAACGACGAAAATGCCAATAGAAGAAGTGAATTACAAGTATAGAGAGAAGAGTACAGAGAAAGCATGTTGGCTCGCTTGCTTGATGGATGCGATGCGATACGACGGGATGTAGACAGAAGGGAAACCTTATACAAGGCATTGAAGAAAAATAAAAATAAAAACAGAATAAGCAGAAATGGTATCCAGAGAGCCGCCCGTGTATCTTTCTCCCTAGTCCTAACTCCGTGACTTTTCAAAGCAAAACAAAACTCTTTTGACCTCCCACATTACGCAGTGCCGTTCCGAGCTCCCTGCTGCTTCTCTTGGTCCTGAACCTGAGCTGCTGAAACGGTAGGATTGAACCGACCTGCTGTCTCCTTCCTGTCCGTACGAGAGCTTTCTGAGCTGCTGCTAGCCTTGCTAGTGCCATGATCCATGTTCTTTCTGACTCCATGATCTTCACTCTTTCTGAACTTGTTCGTCAACGTCAAAGCCGGTTGCATGATACCGGTAGGTTCCCCAGCCTCTTGCTTGGCTTTCTTCTCCCGTTCCTTCTCCATTTTGTGCATCACTTCAGCCGTGAGCTCCTGCTTCAATAGTCGCTCCAAGACATCCTTCTTGCGAGTACGCCTATCGCCGATGGCAATGAGCAAACCGGCAGTACTGTTGGCAGCAATGGAGCAGCAAAGGACAGCGGTGGTCACTGCACTTTTCCTAGTATGGTAGTCGGTAGACCAGGTATAAGAACCGAGAGTGATCTGGAGACAACTGTGCAAGTCCAACAAGCAAACAATGGCAATGAGCAAGCCGATAGGAAAGGCGTGGTGAGTTCCCGTTTCGTGAGGCTTGTAAAAGGTGTGTGACTTGGCCAGCTTCTTTTGATGGTGGATGAATCTGGCTTGTGATTTTTCGGAGAGGACGGGGATGAAGGTATCGTCATGCCGGACCTCTGTCATGTGAGGGTCTACGGGGGCGCGCTCAACGTCTGCTTGTTCGAGGGCGGCCTGGGTTTGCAGAGGCACGTCATTGGGATCCTTCAAAGGAACCAACAACCTGTTGCGAAGCTTGATCGTCTTGAGGTCTGGACCAAAGTTAGCATTAGGCAATACCTCGACTACACAGCAAACACTTACGATAGCGAGCCACAAAGATCATGTGGTATGTGTCGACCGCCCGGAAGGGGGCAAGGCCATCACCGACAATAGCGAATAAAGCGACAAGGACATTGTCAATGACATTGATGACGTACAGCTGTTTGTCGCCGACGTAGATCCACCCGATAAGGAAGAGAACCCAAGCAAGACCGAACAGAGTGATCAAAACAGCATAGAGGGTGACAAGAAAGCCCAGAGGCCGCCTGCAGTACTTTCCGAATGCCTTCATGCGCTGCTTGAACTTGGAACGCTTTGAGTGGAGCATATGCCGAACATAGTCATTGAGCATCCGGATGTCTTCTTCGCGCCACCCCTCCAGAGTGGCGTCCTTGGGCAGGATGGCATACTGAGGAGCAGTCAAAACGGTCGAGAAACTGTGAACATGAGGTGGACTTGGGCGCTGATGCGCGCTTTCATCTTCTGTCTCGCCCTCGCCTGCAGTCGTGGCCGTTCGGGTCGTTCGGATAGTATGAACATCCTCTTGGGAAGGGGGCGAGGTGCCGGGCAGGTTGGGTGGTAGAACTGGTAGCTGGGAGAGATCATATGTCGGTCTTCGGTTGACAAATCTACCCAGCGAAGGAACGAAGAGGGAGTTTTGAACGTTGGTGATGGACGACAAGGCGGCAACTTCTGGGTCTGTAGTATAGTAGTGTAGTTAGCATGGTGAAGAGTGAGGAGTAAAGGAAGTGTTGGCTACTAACCAATAACATCCAGAAAGTCTACAATGCGCGAGTCGTACGTGTCATGTTCTGCCTGTAGCTGAGCATCCTCAGGGCTGGCCTGGTTCTCTGCACGGCGACGACGTGGCATCAGGTTTCGAAAGGTACCCTGGTGGCGCAGACCTGGGTGCTCTGGCTCGACTTTGATAGATGGCTGGGCCAGAACACTTTCATTGATGGGGGAGAGATGAGCAGCTGGGGGCTGTGGCACCTCTCCGCCCTCATGTTCAGGAACTAGAGGTGTCGATTTGTGCATGATAGGCTGATCATCAGCCCAGTGTCTGGCGCTGAGTGGCCGCTGGGGGTCAGAGCTGGAACGACGTCGACCTGTTGCCGCTAAAGGTGCCGGGGCATCTCGGGACTGAGATCCCAATTGTGGGTGAGAAGGGCGTCTCTGACCCGAGATGACTGACGGCCCTAGCCTCGAGCTGCTCTCGGATGAAGTGCGTAGTCTTCGGAGACGGATAGCGGATTCTTGACGAGCGGGCTGGAATGGAATGTTTTGACCTTGACTCTGTCGGGTGGGAGGAGGGGGAGCTGGACGGTGGGACACAAGATCGGGCTGTTGTGATGGTCGACGAGGCTGAACTTGTGGTTCTTGTGGTGCTGGTTGGGGATGAAGTGCAGGCGGCCGCTCGCTGATGGGACTAAGAGCAGCTGCTGGTGGTGGTGGTGGTGGAATGTCTGCTGCTACCTCTGTAGGGCGTGCAAGAGGCTGCGGTGACTCTGCTGCTTCGAGCAACGAGGGGAGTCGAGTCGATGCTGTGCTCGTCCGTCGAACATCTTCCTCGGTGAAGTATTCGCCTTGGCTGACATGATGCCCCTGATTATCCTTCCCCGACCCATTTCCTCCATTTCCTCCGTTCGGTGGTTGCTGCATTGCACCCGATGGCACCTGCTACCCCAGTGTCGTAACGATGGGCCGTCTTTGTCCAACTTGAATGAGGAGAGCGAAAGTGGGAGAAGGCTGGAGAAAGTGGAAGGGGGAAATTGGAGAAACTGTGACTGATCGATTGATTGATTGATTGTTTGTTTGTTCCTTCCTTCGAACCTCGCTGACTGAGTAAGGGCCTCGCTTAACAGAGAAAGAAAGCAGGAGCGTGAGACACGAAGCAGACACACAGACAACTGAACTTAACGCAAAACGACACAGACACGCGGAACAGAAACACTCAAGTGAATGCATATCATTTAGCACAAGGTCTAGAATTCCGTCACCACATGGCCAGCCCCACGGATTCATTGGGGTCTGGCATGCCAAGGTCACAGATAAGGTGCAAACCGGAAAGACTTGGTTTTTGGTCGGGACAAGGGAATCACACCATTGGCCCTGATCCTCTCGTCCCCAATCAGGTCCCAATTTCCCTGTCTTTGACCAAGGGTGCCTGTGACGTCATGCTTTCCCCAGCCAATCACAGCATACATGGCGAGACTGTTTCAGATGAACGGGCATCCACTGGCACTGTAGTATCGATAACCGACAAGTAGATCTACACTACGCAGGTAAACACTACTGCACGCATTACACTGCCTATGTACGTACCAGTCACCACTACCCAAGTACCTCCTACACACATGCCAATGTACATATCATTATTACAGCCACACAAATGGCTAGGTCTATCTACATACGACTCTGAATCCGCCAGACTACCTACTACACTACATATATATCTATGACCGACTGGGACTACCCACCTCATACTACACTCAAAGCTCAATCTCCGGCTGCCGGCCCTTATACTCAACCTTCAAGGACGGATCCACCCCCATCGAGAAGCCAAACGTCCTGGTCTTGGGATCAGACCCCTCCGGCAGTCTCCACTCGTAGTTCAGCAGCAGATGAACCAGCGCAATCTTGATCTCATTCGCCGCAAAGAACCGTCCGGGGCACGCGTGCTGTCCGTGTCCGAATCCCAAGTGCTCCGGCCCCGTGCTCACCAGCTGTGCCGCGTTCTCCTTGCCTGCTCCGGCCGTCTCGCGCATCCTCAAAAACCGTCTTCCGTCCCACTTGTCCGCCTGCTCGTACACTTCCGAGTTCCACATGTCGTGCACCGACACGGCCACGAAGCCGCCCTTCGGGATGAAGGTGCCGTCTGACAAGGTCACGTCCTTCTCGGCGTAGCGACGCATCGACGCTACGCCAATGGGCTTGACACGTTGGGACTCCTTGATGACGCTGTCGAGCAGCTTCATGTTGTACAGCGACGTCTTCTTCCACCCGCCTTCGCTGAGCACCCGGATCATCTCCTCGCGCAGGGGGGCAATGAATTCGGGGTTTTGCATCAGGTTGGTCATGACCTGGCACGTCAAGTCGGACGTGGTGTGGATGGCCGCCAGGGACAGCATCAGCTGCGCAACTGCTGGGTCGTAGTACTTGCCCTTGGCCGTCCGCTCAAACCACTCAATCGCGTCGTCGTACTCAGCGTTGCCGCCGTTGGCTGCCTTTTCTTGACGCCTCTTCTTAAGGACCGGGTCGAGGATGCTGCGCGCTACGCGGACGTCGGCGCGGGCGCGCTGGCAGGACGGGAGGAACCAGTGGACGATGGGCCGGAGGGCGGCGGGCCAGAGACGAAGATCTTCGGCGGCGCCGAACCCGTTGATTGTGTACTGCTGGGTAACCTTGAGCCATTCCTCGTTGCGGCAGAGTTCCTCGCCGAGGAAGACGCGGGAAGAGATGCGGGCGACGATGGGGAGAATCTTTGAGCGAAGGTTGACAGTGGACCACTCGCCGTTGGCTGCTTTGGGGAGGATGGCCTCCATCGCCATGGAAGTTTCCTGGGCGAGGGGCTCAGTGACCTTGTCTGTCATTGTTTGTCAGCTTCGTCACTTCGTCTCGGTCAAGGCACTGTTTGACCTACTCAGGTACTTGGTAAGATCCCTCATGATAACCTCCTGGACAATGTGCGATTCCCGGCTAGCCTCACCGAACCCTTCAAAACCAGGGAGATGCCCATGGAAAGCCTAGTTCTTCCGGTAAGCCTCAGTCCTCACTTGATATCTCACCATGGATGGAAGGGGTAACAAACCTTATAAGTCCACCTCGTAAAGCTCAACCGATCGTCATTCTTGATCTCATTGACCATTCGCGGCGGCAACACTATGACCTCACCAAAGTCGCTGATGACACGGCAAGGCTTGTTGGGGTTGGCCTTGAACCAGTTCGCAAGCATCTGTCGAGAGCCATACACAAACTCCTTCTTCGGTCTCGTGTCGCTAAACTCGAGGGGACCCTTTGGGTTGAGGTGTTTGATGTTCTTGGGGAATCTCGGTCCTTGGAGGGAGTACACGACGACGGCCAAGAGAAAAGCCGTGACAAGGTAGGAGAAGGGCGTCGCCGAGGCGTCGGTGATGGACTTGATGTCGAGCCGCTCCATCCACGAGGGGATGGAGCTTGGTGTGGCCGAGGGGTTGGCCATGGTTGTGTTGGTGTTCACTGGAGACTGTAGTGGTATTGTAATGCTCTTGATGAACTTGGAAAGGTATGAGTTGAGAGCAGGTTGTTCAAGATACAAGCAGTCGAAGACAGTCGAGATCTTTATACGTCCTGTCAGTACATCTGGGTAACATAAAACCGGAAGCTTGTTGTCCCCACCCCAACGTTATCCATTTTCATAACTCATTTATGAAACGGCACAACATCCTTGCTTTATCAACTACATGACTGTCTCTTGCATAAAGTCCAAAGCCCTGTCGGGATACGATCCCAGACGAACGAGCCCCTTGCCGGTTACCGACACGTCAGTATGTAATGGAAATGGTGAGATTTGTCTACTAGGAGTTAGGGATACAAAGTATGAACGTTCAGGCTAAAATAAAATTCTATGGATCGGAGGAAGCCGAAGTGACTTTCCGAAGCGGCTCTTTCTATTCCAATTATGGATGGAATGGTTTTGACGCGGAGTTGTGATTCGGGCATGTATCGTCAACCTTGATTGATCTCGCTTGCGGTGTGCCCTGTACAAGAACACCAACCAACTCTACCCCTGTTTGTGACTCGTTATTCACAATCCTTTTAACAGGCAAAGTACCTACCTACTCGTACTAAACATCACTTCTTTTCAGGTTCTGCCGTCTGATGAAGGCTCCAAAGCCGAGTGACTCCCTTTGTCTCCCCTTCTCTTCTTCCAGCATCTTCCATATCTGCCATAACTACCCGAGACACCTCCCTCTCGTCAAGCTACACCGTATGTATTGCTCACAACTCCACGCATACCGCCGATCCCAAAGGCCTCGAAGGCCAATTTACCCTGTCCTGGCCTGTCTTCCTCGTTGCCGTTGGCTGGCCCATTCAAGCGAAAGCAACGCTACCGATCCGCACCATGCCGGCACGGAGAGCTGCCGGGGACCCACATCTCCGAGTGCATAGACTGCATAAAAGTGCACAACCCATGAATAAGTGAGGGATAAGTGGTGAATACGCTTAGTACAGATTGCATAACCCAAAAAAGGGGTCCCTATCCCTGAACGGTCAAACACACTTCGTTATGATTGGCGGTTCACCATCCAAAAAAGAAAAAGGAGACGGGAAAACAAGCAAGCCATCACAAGTTCCGGGAGACGGCAACAGTTTCGTCACATGGAAAATGCCAGCAAAAAAGAATACGAAACAAAAAAAAGACATACAACACCTGGGATTCGCTGGTCGTCACCGACCCAACTACTAGTCAGGCGATTGGTAGCTTATCTATGGGAGAGCGGACGGGATCCCGAGTTTTCTACCATCTATGGTCGTATGTGATTGTTTGCCTGAGACTTAACACCTATAAGGAGCATACGACAATACAAATTTCCACAGCATCACCACCGCAGCATTGCTCGAGCAACCTAGACCATCACCACATCACGGCGTGATATCGCGCTGTCAAAACTCCATCTTGCATTCGTGTCCTTCTTCTGACTTATCTTGCATCTACTCAATAATAAGATATAACGTACAAGCTACTTCGACGACATGCAATTCTGATGATGCCCAGAACCACCAAGCAAGCTCACGTAACCCACATAATCGTGACCGCTCAGACAACGTTACAAAAGCCACCTCTTCGACCAGTCCGACCACAACTTTTCGCTTTCATCTGCCCAGATACCATAGTACAGGAATTGATAACAGATTGAGAGCGCAAATAAACAATGACTAGCAAACTACCTTCATGCTCGCTGAATCATAGATCCACCCAGTCTATCTCCTTTGACGAATATGGCAACTCACATAGTGCCCCAAACCCATCCGTAAAACCGTGACCGAGTGAAGAATAAGAAGCTGGGTATCAAGATAGCAAAGGGAAAAGCCTTCTCGAACCGTCTACTATCCCCTCCTCAAAGCAAATTCTACCAGCGAGTGTGTTTAGTAAGGTGCACCGGGATGGCCCAGAGACTGGCGGGAAGGCTGGCAACTCTCGCCGACACGTCCGGCAAGATGAGCAATGTTGGACAAGGTCTTCAGAGAGGCATCGTGAGGGCTCTCGCGGCTAATAGCAAGCAAAAGCTCCTCCATCTTCGCCTGGATCAGAGACATGACCTTCGGGACGGCCTCGACAACTTGATCCTCCTGTAAGAGACGGAATGTTAGCAATCAAAAATAAAGGCATCAACACAGTTCACTGGGCTGTATAAACACTTACCAAGTGGGGAAGGGCTTGTGCCATGGCGTATACGATCGTTTCAACCATAGCAATCTTGGTTTGGATTTTAGGGCTTCTTCGGGAAAGATTGCTGACGATGCTGGCTCCCACAGAAAGAAGGAAAATGGGCGCTAGACCGGAGAGACAACGGGGGTCATACTTGGAAATGACCTGCTGGAAGACCTCTTCGCTCTTATCTTCCGCTTGCAGCCAGCGCATAACTGCCTGGTCGTACTGGCCTGCGCTCATCAAACGATCGATGGTTTCCAGCGTGTTGTTGAGCTCCATCTTCTCGCGATTCTCGCGGGGAGTAGGAGAGAAAAGCGCCTGTTGCTCCTGATTAACGAATTGCTGCTGCTGGTGTTGAGCCATGCTATGAATGGACGGGGTGTGTTGGTGCTGGTGAGCCTGGGACGGCGCATAAGTGACCAAATCGCGGGAGGGTCCGCCAGTCTGCTGGTGCGAGCTAACGCTGCCACTGGCACGAGAATGCGTGTGACTGTGCGTAGGCTCCGGAACGCTAAAGTCGCGATCACGGTTCTGCTCATGAAGCTGTTGCTTCAGGGCGCCAAACTCCTTTTGCATTTGAACCTGGGACGCTGCCAGAGCGGCAAGTGCCGTGGATAGCTC